CATGCAGCTGAACAACCCTTGAGCAATTTTGTCATTTTTAGTAAAAGATGCTTAACCTTAGCACTTTGGGATTTTTGTTCTAATATTTGTGCTACCAATCTAAGAAATTAATCACACACAGTCTTGCAGAAGTAAAAAAAGCACTGCTTCTTCATTTGTTGCAGCCTACAACAACAGCACACAAAGCACACTTCTCAGCTACCCAGGCTGGTTTCTTTATTTGCAGATTGCTCAGTGGATGTAAATTTTTAATAGACCATTCAGTTGCCAGGATAGTCCTGGAAAGTAAAAGAAAATCTATCAAGATACTCTAGAGAGGAGCGGCAAGGAAGTCTCTACAAAAAAGGCCAGGAATTCTAGTGCAGCTGCTGTAGGTCAGCAGAACACAAGAGATTTTGAAGCAGCAGCTTTACTTAGCTCCATCAATCACCACTCAGCTTAAGAATTTTTGCTTACATCATGAAGTCTGTTTTCTAGTTTGAAAGGGTTTCCAGCCATACAGATGTGGCCAATTTGTAAGAAAAAAAAAACAACAAACCCTCAAAATTAATTTCAAAAATCACACCACCTTCTCTTTGCACCCTCTCTGCCTTTCCTCTCTCCAACTTCGTATTTTTCTGTTTTCTGTCCACTAAGTACCTGAAATGGTAGGACACATTCTGGCCGGCTGACATCTTTATAAATGCTTTAAGACTGTTGTTAGATGATGACCACCATGTAAGCTTGAACAGACTGATTAAAGGGGAAAATAACTAGTTGAACAGTTTTCATAGCCACGAAAGTAACACGAGGGCCACTAGCAAGTATGCGGCTTACATGCTTTGCTGCTGCTGCCCCAAGTACCAGAGATGCAGAAAAGTTGTTTTGCATCTTCTGTGATCACTCTTCTTGCCTACTTTTTACACATTAGTTAGGTCAGTTCCTGAAAATACTTTACTATCACATATAGGACTTGCATTGAAAAAAAACCCAAACACCCAAGAAAATTTATATTCAAATGGGAAAAAGAAAAAGAAAGAAAAGGAAAATATTCCCAAAATAAATACGTGGATTGTTTAGGCTAGAACATGTGCTTACATTTCATTTGTTTCAGCACTGTTTGTGCTTGTTTAATCCATTTTCAGGTCTGGTTACTACCCAGGCACAGTCCAACACAAATGTGGAAATTAAACAAGAAAGAAAAAAATAAAAATAAAAAAAGGCATCTAGGAATTGTAATAGTTAGAAAATTTTCAGTTTGCATGTTGAAAGCACTTAAAAAATAAATAAATAAATGCACAGCTAATTAGATGTTTCTTAATGCTACAAGTCAGCAATCTCAGGGGTACCACAACAGCTGAGCTGATGCACACCGGCTCTCACAGAAGGTAAGTCTGAAGGCAGGAGATGCTGCCTCTCCCGGATACCTGCCTCCACACATATCGTGGTTCCAGCTCCCAACCCAGCTGCATGCTGAGGTTTGTGTCCACTGCTTTTTGTGCAAATACTGTGGGTTCTAATTTCTGTTCTACATCTCATGATATGTAAGACTGGAGCAAGGGGTGACCTCTGCAAGGAACTGAATCAAAATGTTTTTAGCTTTTTCCTTTCATACACCTCACCAATCATTCTTAAATAATAATAAAAGGAAGGTTTTATAGATGTTAAATCCAAATCCAAATAATTCACAAAGATTAGAGAATAGTTCATTGACACACAGATGGGAAATTCCTTGGCACCCTTCTCCTAGTATAAAGCGAATAGATAAAATAGAAACTTACACTAATAGAATTCCTGCTAAATTATTTCTGCTTTTAATAATTGAAAATTTCGGTTTTCTATACAAAATATCAACACACCCAGAGGAGTTTAGCACACAGTACAATATAATGAAGAGCTACCATTAACTTTACACAAGCCACTTTCACAACCAGAAAGTATTCAATTCGTATTCATATTCCATTTATATTTCGTTCAATTTACATTCTTTTCTCAGAGATAACATGGCACCATGTCTTAACACCACAGAATGTTCTTAAAAGCTTGTTGGCAATTAAGCAGACGGGACGGGACTGGACTCTCCCTCCAATATTTTGAAACGGGTTTCTTAGGTCAATACACCAGCTTCCCTACCAGACTTTCAGCCCCATTCCCATAGTCACAAGTTCAACATTACAGGTTACCCACACACATAGCGTATTTGTCAGCATGAAAAAATGTGTCAGCAGAAATAGTTTTATCTGCTCTACTTATGTGCCAAGGGCTGCCACATCCTGAACTATTTCCCATAATCTTAAAAAAGCAGAATAGCACAGCCTCAGTCCTCCATGAAATATCACACACATCTCTCCACTTACATACACAGGCAGCAAGGCTTAAGACCAATGAACAAAATTATGTGTGAACCATTGTTACTGCAACACACATCCAATTAAGGTAGAAGAAAATACAGAACTAACTACGCAGCCCACTACCCAGATGATTTTTTTTCTTGTGGCATGCCAAGTGCACCTCTACTGAACTACTGCAGGCCACAGAGGGTTTGCAGGACTCGCCATTCCTCAGCTTCGCATCCCCATCCCAGAACAGCACAGTCACTTCCCTGCCTTCTGTGATTTGAAGGAAATAAGCAACTCAAGAGAAAACTCATGTATCTGTTCTTTTGTATCACCTCTAGCCTTCAAAGAATCCTTTCATTTCCAGTTAAGAATCAGAGAAGCATCTCACAACAGGGCCAACCGAGGGAATTTCAAAGTCTGTTATAGAATTTAGGGGGTGAATTTCTCATGATTTTGTTTTTTTGGGATGTTACTCTCTCTTCGCAATGGTTAATTGGTTTTAAATAATAAAATATTCACTGCTAATATATTTGAATCAAAACATCCTGCGCCTGAACACTATCACACCCTCCCTCCACACAGGTATGCAAGAGAAATTGTTTCCTACTTAGAAGAAATGGCAACACTGTCACAAAGTTTCAAATCATATATACCTCCAGTTGACCACTGCATAGAAAGTAGGTATTCCATAGGTAGCTGACTTGGGGGGGAAAGTACTTTTGCTGAACTATAAGTTAGCATGGAAATGATAACAAAAAAATTTACTTCTTTCTGTAAGCAGTTGCAGGGACTGAAAAACATCACATATAGAATCACGGAATAGTTAGGGTTGGAAAGGACCTTAAGATCATCTAGTTCCAACCCCCCTGCCGTGGGACACCTTACGCTAAATCATATCACCCAAGGCCTCGTCCAACCTGGCCTTGAACACTCCCAGGGATGGAGCATTCACAACCTCCCTGGGCAACCTATTCCAGTGCCTCACCACCCTAACAGCAAAGAATTTCCTTCTTATATCCAATCTAAACTTCCTCTGTTTACGTTTTAACCCATTACCAGGTGTAGGACCTTGGACTTCCCATGGTTAAACTTCATGAGGTTGGCATCAGCCCACCTCACAAGTGTGTCAAGGTCCCTCTGGATGGTATTCCTGCCCTCCAGCGTATCAACCGAATCACACCTGGGTCAAAGCAATCCCAGGCACAGCTACAGGCTGGGCAGAGAAGAGATTGAGAGCAGCCCTGTGGAGAAGGACTTGAGGGTGCTGGACGATGAGAAAATGAACATGAGCCGGCTGAAGTGTGCGCTCGCAGCCCAGAAAGCCAACCGTATCCTGGGCTGCATCAAAAGGAGCTTGACCAGCAGGTTGAAGGAGGTGATCCTGTCCCTCTACTCTGCTCTTGTGAGACCTCACCTGCAGTATTGTGTGCAGTTCTGGTGTCCCCAACATAAAAAGGACATGGAACTGTTGGAACAAGTCCAGAGAAGGGCCATGAGGATGATCAGGAGACTGGAGCACCTCCCATATGAAGACAGGCTGAGGAAGTTGGGGCTGTTCAGCCTGGAGAAGAGAAGGCTGCGTGGAGACCACATAGCAGCCTTCCAGTATCTGAAGGGGGCCTATAGGGATGTTGGCGACGGACTCTTCATTAGGGACTGTAGTGATAGGACAAGGGGTAATGGGTTAAAACTTAAACAGGGGAAGTTTAGATTGGATATAAGGATGAAATTCTTTCCTGTTAGGGTGGTGAGGCACTGGAATAGGGTGCCCAGGGTGGTTGTGAATGCTCCATCCCTGGCAGTGTCAAGACCAGGCTGGAAGAAGCCTTGGGTGAGACGGTTTAGTGTGAGGTGTCCCTGGACAAATGGAGACACTGCTGACTGAGAATATACTGAAATATCCTCCCCTTTTGAAAAAGCAAACAGTTTCCTATAAAGGTTTCTTCTTTATGTTCTAAATCGAGGTTAAATAGACAGATCTGTGCAAGAAGTATCTATCTTTAATCTCCTCTCTTCCATAGATTTCTTTATAAATTGCCTGGGAAAAAATGCAGCATTTCCTCCCTTTTCTCTGGTTCCTATGCCCCTCTGACACAGTTCAAACAAGAGAGGTTTTTGAGAACCACTTCAACTAATTAAAGAGAGGGATCAACCTCTTCACCAGATCAAGAAGACAAGTAATACAGGGCTTACACTGTAACGAGGAAGACTGTGCCTAGACACATCTAATGGTCGAGATTGCAAAGCACTGGAAAAAGTGTGGGATTTCCTGCACTGGGAGCTAGAAGCAGCTTAAGCTCATAGCTATTGGGAGTAGCATAGGTATAAACAAGCAGATGGGCTCTCAAAGCCTAGAATCCTTTCAGAAAAAAAGGTCACAAACATGGCTCTTTAATCTCCTCAGGGATAAATGGAGCAGACAAACGGCTGCACACTGCATTGATTGGCAAAATGCTGAGCCAAAAGAAATTAAAAGTACAAGATCTAGCTCTTTTTGCCAGCAGGATTCCAAAAGAGGAACCATTATACAGATGAGTCTTCGCCTGTGCAAGAGGAGAGTAGAGGACAGAAGTCAGGTTTCAAGGTCAAGGCTTTAAAATAACACTGCCTGTATTAAAGATTCAAGCAAAAATCAACAGACAGCAAACTTGCTATGTGAAGAGTAATTCCTAGGCATCTTACCTCAATGGACCATAATTCAACATTATGAAAGCCAGTATAACCATCACACACAGGGTCCTTCTCTTTGGAGATGAAACTTTGAGCTTCTCATTCTAGACAGGAAAAAATAGAGACAACATGCAATAAAAAAGGGGCACAAGCACGCAAAGGTATGTCAAAAGCTAAATACAGCAAACTATGCTTGCTTTTTAGATTGATATTTGCCTAATTGTGTACGGATACTCACAAGGACAACTTAAAAATAAAACTGTCTTGTTTGTACATCACACTCAGCTTCCAGCCAGTCTATCGGCTCACCGAAATCTTCAGGACAACCATGAAATAATGAATTAAAAGTCAACTAGATAGTGTGATAGCTGTCCTGACCTAAAGTTGGTGAAAGTCCTGTTTGGAGTGGGAGGCTGGGCTAGAAACCCCCAAAGGTCTTCCAATCAACATATCCATGATTTGGTTTACATGCAACTTCCATTAGAGCAACTTCCTATAAAGTCAGATCCTCATCACAGTCTCTTACCTCCAATACTATTTCATCCAGCTGCCTCTTCAATGTACTGTTTTCTTTCTTGAGTTTCTCGTTCTCCAACAAGGCTGCCTCCAGCCTCGCCTCCAGCCCCAACATGTATTCTTTCTTTTTTTTCCGTGACTGAAAGGCTGCCTCACGGTTTTTGATCATGCGCTGCTGCCGTCTCAAGACATTGACCTGGACAGAAAATATAGAAGCCTGTTAATGATCCACAAGTTAAAGTGCCTCTATTTCACACATAATATCTGCTCCTCTACTTTGGCAAAAGTCTGCATAGATAGCTTTCTGCCCTCTGCTTTAAATGAGCTGAAATGTTCAGCACAGAGGCAACTAGGAATCACAGTACATCTCCAAAAGTTACAGCTCATGGAAAAAAAAACATGAAAAAACAGGTCCTGCACCATCTGTTTTCTCCTGCATTCTTAAACTTCTACGTGTTGAGGACACAAAATGTATACTCAAGCAGCTGATCAAAAAAGACAGAAAATACGTATCTTCAGGTCTGCAAGGTAGCAAGAATGTCTTTCACCTTTACTTTACCATTCACCAGTTTACAGGCTACATGAAGAAGTGAAAGGTTTGTTGTAAAACCTTACTTCAAACAGTACTAACTACATTCAGACTGTCCTCTTGTCTTCAGTCTTTACAAACTCACATACTTTAAAAATGAACTGCTACTTCACAGAATCACAGGATCAGCTAGGTTGGACAAGACCTTTACAAGCATCGGTCCAACCGTCACCCCAGGACTGCCAAGCCCACCACTAAGCCATGTCACTAAAGGCAAAGTGATCTCCCCTCAAGATCTCCCCTTATGCCTGCCCTGCATGACCTCCACGCAGCCACTCCTCATCTGCCCCGCCTAGTGGCCCACACTGTGTAGGTGTAGCTGCCACCCCTACCCCTCATGGCCCCCCCTCATGCCCCATGGCTGCCCCTGCTCTCCCCTCATGATCTCCCCTCACATCCTATGGCTGCCCTTGCTCCCTCCTCACAAATGCCACTCACTCCTTCTGCCACCCCTCTTCTCCCCTCACGATCTCTCCTCATGGCCACCATTCCTCTCTTCTCATGGCCACCCTTCCTCTTCCCTCGGAATCTCCTCCCATGGCCGCCCTTCCTCTCCCTTCACAATCTCCCCTCATGATCTCCCTCACAATCTCCCCTTGTGGCCGCCCTTCCTCTCTCCTCATGATCTTCGCTCATGACTGCCCTTCGTCTCCCCCAGTTCTGAGCAAAACATAACTTCCATTCCAAAACAAGCTGCATTTCTGGCACTAGGTGGTAGGAACGTCTTTCACACTCCACAGGTTTTGGTACACACTTTGGGAAAGTTAAGAAACAGTTGAAAGTACAAACCATTTCAACTGTACATTGGCTGGCTTCTTCGCTTATGAGAACTGCCATCTTCTACGATGTGTCTTAAATGCAGGCATACAAAACCTATGCAGTGTTTTCTCTGTTCTCATGAAAGATGTGGGTTTTCCTGTCTCTAACTCAACAGAACACAACTTGACTAATGAATTTTATTTCATATGAAAATGACCCAATGTACTGCACAGAAAACAGGATTCTTTAATAGAAATCCACACCTATGTTGAAGTAATTTTCCATAACCTAATTTTTACCACATTTTCAATACCTTTTTATCACCAGAACTGGGGGGCAAAATTAAATCCTTTCTCCATGAGTGAGATCCATGAGTGGAAACATGACAGAAAGGCCCTACAATGACAGAGCTAAACTGAATGCCCTCACACACCTACTGTTTATGTCCTCATTATCACTCAATCACAACAGAAAGGCAGTCTGCTTTTTCAGTTAAGTGCCTCTTTCCCTCAACTGGAAGCGTGGCTTGCCTAGGCAGCTTTTTATTGTTTTGCCCAATTTCCTAATGGAAAGCTCTTAATCAGTTTCCTAGTGAAGAGTGACCCCACTGAAAGCCTGGCAGTTCCCCATGGCTGGCAAGCTGTGGAAATGTGTACCATCAGGATAAGCAACACACAGGGCCTCACAGCTTGCTATCAGCCAATCTCAGCCTAATTCACTGGAAGGGCTGAGTGTTAAGCTACCAGTTTATTCCTCCTAAACCCAAAAGAAAGTCCGGCAGTGTTTCTTTTTATCCTGCAATATCTGCTTAGATTAGCAAACAAAACCACATGTTACAGAGCTCAAATGACAGCTACATCTGTGCAGCTCTGACAGACACACATGGCATCTAAGGCAGTCACAAGATGTTTTAACCCTGCTGGCACCATCTGTATCCCAAAACATTTGTTTCTTTTCAAAGCGCTATTTTTCAGTATGCGCCAAAGAGCAGTCAGGACTGTTTGTTCTGTTTCAATAAACACAGGTAAGATCTGCCTCCCTAAAACAACTTCAGGTGTAAATACATTACCACCACTCAAAACAAACAGCTATTAGGTACCCCAGCTACCCATTTTACTACTGTCATAGAAGTCTATATGAAGTGTGATGACAAGAAGGGGGTTTTGTCAATTAAACCTTATACTCAGACAGTGGCAGGGTGCCATGCTAGTCTTGATAATGGGAGTCACAAACCTAATGACTATTGACAGGTCTCTAGCTTGGCTCTGCATGGCAATTATCCTTTAAAACCACAGCACTCTTACCTGGTCCATCTACTGATGGACACTTCTTAGCTTCTTGCAAATTCAACATTAGGCTTCCACTGCAGTCTGACTACTGAATTACTTGTAGCAAATAATTTTTCACTCAAAAATGCAGCAAACACGAATAGTGAGAAAAAATTAACATCCAAGCATTAATGGCAATTCTCAGACACTAGGAAACCATACAACCACATCCCTCCAAAGAAGCCAGAAAGCACATGCCTTTGAGAAACAATGACTTGTGTTGCTAGTAAGCAGGTGACTATACTGCAAAATTTCATGTGAATGGGCACCAGTATTTTCTCCCTTAAAGAGAGATCTGTTAGGACCCTCAACTCATGACAACTGCGCTTGGATTACCACACTGAAGAACCCTGAGAGCCTAAAAGCCTCAAAGAAGCTTCAGTACTTTCCACAACCATGCCTTCCTTTGGACAACAAAATCCAAACAAAGCAGCTCCAGATCTCTGTGAACTAAATCAAGTTAACACCCAGTTTGCCAGCTAGTTAAGACATCAAAGTTGAAGGGTGAAAAAAGCCCATATATCTCAAAAGCTGTTTCTGTTTACAGCTATTGCTTACTGTGAGCTACTGTGGAAAAACTTATCTGCACAGTGACTGTTGAAAGCTTACCCTTTTTCTACTCAATTCAGGATATGATCAAAAGGCAGCCTGAACAGATTAGGATCATATGAAACTCAATACCTGAATTTTCTTAAAATCGCAAGTAAACTCTGGGAAGGGGATGGAAAGAATCAGGCCTACTGCTGACATTCCCAATTCATCTACTTCCAAAAAAGTGGTTTTATTATATGCATTAGAAAATTGGTTTAGCACTAATCAAAACCCAGCTATATCAAATCTTCCTCTATGTAAGAGAGCTCCAGTCACTGAGAGCTTGTTGAGAAAACAAGTGAAGGAAAAATGTATCAGCACTGCCTCCTGCTGCAATGCTTGCATACCTGATCTGCAACTCCAGACAGGCCAGGAAATATCAAATTATTCCTTCCCATTCTTTGCCAAGCTGCCAAACTCCCTGTTTACTGTTAGAAATTATATTAACAAGCCTAACTATAGCTCAGTCTTCCTGAGATTCTGAAGCGACCTGGTTTTCCCATTATATCCCACATGCAGGTAACTGAAAACTGTTTCCAAGCTTTGGTTATTAGCTATCTCACACAGTCAGAACTTACATCCAGCCCCATTGCTGGTGTGGTGCTTTGAAGCAAGGGCTTTGTCACTGTTATTTTGCCAGCTGTTGAGCCATTTCCAGCAGCTGAAGGCAATGCATTCACAGTATGTTTGTGAAGTGGTGTGGTCCCTCCAGTGACAGCAATGACTGGCTGGGAGGCAGGAAGCACCCCAGAGGCTTGGAGCTGTACGACAGTGGGCTGGGGGAGCACCACAGATTGACCTAGAACACAAGAACAAACAGGAGTGCTCAGCATATGAAATGGATTTGTATGTGAACAGTTTGCAGGGGAATACTTTATATATATACGTATAAAATATATGAGTATAAAATACATGATATACGAGCAGAAAGCTTTGCTTCCTCTCCTGTCCTGCACATTTATCTCAAGTTCAATTCTACCATGTTAATATACTCCACAGGCTAGGAGAAAAACAAAACAAACAAACAAAAAAACCCTAACACCGCCCCCCCCCCCGAAAATAAAGCAACCAAAAAAAAACCCCAAAAGCTCAAAAGTTTGCAGGGCTCTTCATTCATCCTGCAAACCGAACCCACATATAAAAGAGATTAAAAAAAAAAAAAAATCAGGCTCTCTCCCAAAAGCTCTTCAAAGTTAGTAAAAGCTGACACTTGCAAGAAGCATTACTCATTTCAGTACTGCTAACACTTGATGCACTTTGAGCCACTTTTTCAAAGAACTTAGTTAGCTTACATCAATCCTCCCTCTCCCTTTTGTTCATCCTTAACTTATTGCTGTACTGAACTGAAACCTTACTACACAGAAGTAAGTGTACATGCTTACAAACCAATTCAGAAACAGCATGGAGAAAGAAGATGAACAAGAACAAACAATGGAAGTTACACTTTCGAAAGACAAGTTACACCTCCAATTCACACTAAGACAAGACAAATTTTTTAAAAAAATGTCTTATGTAAGAAATTTTATACACAAGTTGAACAGAGCTTAAAGAAAAGCAAGTGGAAAAAATTAGGTAATTTTAACAGAGTTTGAAATAGAATTAGAAACTCAGTTCCAAGAAATTTCAGTCCAACAACTACATGTAACTCAAGCAAGTGCTCCAGTAATATTTTGTTGTCTGACAACACACAGACATGTCTCTAATCCTCTGAAACAGGATGACCTCCTCGCCAGCTTTCAGAAACAGCACGTTCCAGCTGATCATTCCAATCAATATGCATAATGTATTACAGCATTTACCCACCTTTCTGGAAGGTGACAAATGAAGTAATTCACCTAGCACCAAGATCTTTTACATACAAGGTGTAGGATGAGATCTTTTTTTTGCAGAGATAATCTCAAAGACATCTAAGTCAGTACCATCCTATTAAGAACATCAGATAGTGAATTTTAGATTTCAACATTTTTTTCAGGCACAAAGTATGTGATGCTCTAAGATCATGCCTTCTTCCTCCAGCTTTTACAAAAATGACTATAAAAATACCATTCCACATGCTCCCTTGAAGATAATGGCATATTTCAAACTGGTAGCTCCAACTTGTCATGCGCAGGGAATTTTGATAAATGAAGATCCTTATGTTTTTTGTTATGGAAGCAGCACAACAGAATTTTTAAACACAGCAGCAGTTAAAGTAAATACATGGCATGGAAATACTTTCCCAAAAGTATTTCCTCTATAGTGCCTCACAGAAACTATGCTCCTGATTTTTCTTCAGGAAAAAGGAGAAGCTAGTCTTCACAGTACTATACTTATGTCCAAGAAATCCATATTCATAACATTCCTTATTTTAGACAGTTTTTTATCAGCTGGAACATCAGAAGGAATAAGAATTAGGTCATGATGACTGTGTTGACCTGTGTTTTAAGCAGTCTAACAATCTTAGGAATGTTGTAACAAAATGTCAGCTGCTACAGCTTTGGCTTAACTCCTGCTGGATGAGCAATTAGTAATGAAGACAAATTTTTCACTATTTCACTAATTTCTAGATACAGGCTCTTAGGTATTTGCCTCCTTTTCATTTCACACCTCAGTGCCTGTATGTTAACCACAAGCCATCAGCTGGTGAAAATGAGCAAGTACATCTAACAATTTCAGCAATGCAACTGCCTTAGCTGAAGAGTAGAATAGTGCTTTAGATTCAGAAATGAGGCTCAAGCTACTTCAAAAAATCTGTTACAGGGCAACAGGAGGAATGAAGAATTATCAGTGGACGGGAAATCACTTGCTTCTTGTTATCATAAGCTTACAGCTATAAACAACTTTTCTAACCTCTGACATGATTCTCAACTTTTAGCAGATTTTGCTTTTAGCAGATTTCACAACATCCTAGATAATGCTGTTTGGCACGATAAAAAGCCATAAACTCATGTTACCACCATTCTGTGGCAGAATTTCATGTGTGTAAAAAAAAAAAAAAAAAGGTTTATCATACCTCCCCAACTTACAAGTTTCATTCAAGCCACCCTGATTCTACTACATCTTCCTTTGATTACAATAAAATAGCACTGCAATCGCCTTATGCACCACTTGCCATCACAAGCAGAGAAGAGAAGAGGGCCTACAGGGATCTTTCAAAATGAGCAGTTTCATCTCCACATGTACCAGTGCTCAGCATAGCCTGTTTTGCTATACTGTCCTCCGTTCCACATAATGCTCAGATGAATGCTTGTTTCTCACTGGACTATGCGAGAGGAATAAGGCCATCTTCTCAGTCAAAGCTTTTTCAGCAAAGCATGTTAGGACCCCCCTGTTTTACTCATATCCCTCCTATTTCACCTGCCACACTTAACCATTCTAACAACCATCCCAAACATAGTTTTTGCCCCAAGACCGGGCTCAAGACAATTCACCTACCTTTAGGAGGTGCTGGCTGGACATTAACAACTGGCTGATGTTTTGGCAGTGGCACAAGTGTGGGAAGAGTCTGAATAATTATGGTTTTAGCTGGGATGCCAACATTAGCCTGAGCTTCAGGTACAGCAGGCAAAAGGGGTTTGGGTTGTATCAAAGGCCTGGACACTGTCTGACTACACCTCTTGAGGGTCCTTGCAGAGTTATTTGCTAGGAAAGAAAAAGGGTCAGAGTTGGACCAGAAGATATATAGAACTCAAGCAGTAATAACATGACTTTTGGTATGTTCTTTTTTTTACTCATCTATAATATTTGTTAAATCCAGACATATATGGTCACAAATCCAAGTCACAAATGACAGGATATACAGGATACATAATGGGTCTGTTAGTTAAAGATTCATATGCAAGACAATATACATACTATCTACGGAATCAAAGTAACTTAATCTCATACCAGACCGAGAAGTGATGCTGATAACAGGCTTCTTCCCTCCATCTTCTTCAGGTGATGCAGGGCTTCTGCAACTCTTGCTGTAGAGAGAGACTGGAGACATCTGGGAGCTACTGCTGAAGTCCACATCATCCTGCAGACAGAAATTGTATGAAATTAATGCTTCAGAAACACCTGAAAGTGTCTACTAGCAGTTCAGAACATAACTGCCTTTTATAACATCTGTGCTGCTGCTGCAGCAAAGAGAAGAAAGGTTTTGTTCTGCAGGTTTATTCTGATCAAAGCTAAGTACTACAGAAAAGCAAACAAGTAGCTCTCCTTATCAGCAGTATGATGGGAAGCAAAGGTCAGCAACTGCTAGACTCAGAAGCCTTTAGAAGGCATATTGTTTGGCAACCAGGCCAATAAACACAGCTGAGGAAATAGAACTGAACATGCTCTTTTTAGAACGGGTCTCTAGAAGACAGGAAAACCAAAACATAGCTGAAGGAAATTTGCTTTTGCAAAGGTTAGAAAAATAAGCTGTTTCCTCTTATGCCATGAAGTTGTTCAGACAGTTAAATCACTGGGCTTTTTGTTTGTCACAGCTGGTTTTGAATGACTGATGCTGTTTGTGTTACATGGAAGTTTCTGCATACAGGCACATTCTGCACTGGAGAGTCCAAAGATGATGGAGAAGGGACCGAACAATTTGAAGCGGCTGGTGATAAGGGTTCTGTCTTCACGCTTGCATCTGCAAGAGGCAGATAAAGAAATTTTACCGTACAAATTTTTAGCAATGGGAGATCAGTGAAAAACACACGGCCCTATATCAGCTATTTAATACCTGAAGCAAGGCACAGCAGAAAACATAGCAAGATTAAAGATACTAAACAGCTTAGCTTGTAGGGCAGTCCTCACCAGTTGTATCCATCCTACATAAACACATCATGATTTCTTATCACAGAGATAAATGCTATAGGGTATGAAATAGTTTCAACAAGTTACCAATATTCTTAAATTGTAACAGCTCACCCTTGTGGGATGGAGGGGAATAGTCACACTTGCAAAATACAGAGGTTAATTACCTGTAAAAGCATGGCCTGTAATATTCCAAAGGTCTGAGTCCCAAGACATCAAATCCAAATCAAAATGAAAGTTATAGAGATCATTTTCCTGGAACGACAGTTCAGAAAAAGAAAGAATACAAAAAGGCAATACAAGTTGAAGCTACCATCCATTATGTTCACATTCTTACAGCTCTGGAAAACAACACAACTATCACTTCAGTTGCCTTAAAGCACACAGAGATAAAAGCCCTTAAGGAGGCAATTCTCAGCTGGAATACACAAGACAAGGCCATCGTAGATACATAAGAAAGAAGAATGTAATTTTAAGACTATCACTAATTATTGTACTGTTATCAGTAATTTGTAAAGCAAAAGTTCCAAGTCTAGTCATTGAATCATCTCATACATAGCACAAGTTTTACCAACTTGTTCCCACCCTCCCCTTCATCTGCATCCCATCACATCTCAAAGCACTTCATAAGCAAAAGCACCAGCAACAGCAGGAAGAGCCACAAGCCCTGATTCGCTCAGCACCTAATGAACAGCACATATTAGGTCTCCCTATACTTGAATAAACTGACATCATAACCTTCTAAAGCCAGGGACACCAGTTTCCTTTTCCATCAGAAGGTGATGGGGGAAAGACTAAAATCACGTTATACATATTCTTTATTGAATGACCTTTACGACAATGATAGAAATGCTCCATCAGCATTTCTTCTGCTGATGTGTCTGTAAGCCTCAGTTCCCTACTCAAATAGGACATTTTTATGAGCTCTTGCATGAAAAATACAAATATCACGTACTCAACTTATACAAATACACAGCAAATATCTTATCACTAAAAACTATCCTGCAAATGTACCTTTCCTTACACTCTCAACTTGCCTTGTAAAGGGAGGCTCAGAAAGGCACAGACTGCATGGATATTAGTTTCACACTAGTGTGAAGAGAAAGCATATCAGGGTGCATTTACAGGGAGAATGACCAAAAGCCATAGCCCAAGCTGGGCAATAAGAGCACATGGGTAACTAAAGCTGACTTGGAAATACTTATCCATTTTACAGTCAAGGAGTTCTCACATTTTGTCCAACACCTAGCTCTAGAACCTGTAAGAATGATCTTAGCATCTGAGGTTTATGTTGGATAACGCAGGGGTTGTGCTGGATGTGGGTTAGGACACGGTGAGCAAAGGAAAGGCAGTGGAACAACACAGAGAGGAGAATCCATGCTCTGGGACAGAAAAAGCAGTAGGTACAATCAGACAGTGAAAAACATGGGGATGAATGCGTAAGGTTGCAAGCAAAGTTTTAGGAGAAAACCCTACGATAGACAAGAAAACAAGAAGCTGTCATACAAGCAAGGTGATAAAGCACAGCACTGCTGGATGCAGGCGTAGCATTTCAATGCTTCTCCATATGTCTCCTTTCACACAACCCAGAAACGTTCTCCCCACTAGCTCTGCCTTCATTAGGTCAGTGACAATACAGCTCTCCCAACTCAGCACCTCAAACTTTCACCTTTAAACCTGGCTTTTAGATCTCTAGCCTTGACACAGACAGTTTATTAAGGCACTGATTACTCAGCACCTCCACATCTAACGCACGGGTGAACAGCCTGCCCGCCACCGGCAGAGAGCGAGTGTCTCCTGCCAATGGGTGCCGTGACACCCGCACTGCTGCTCCTCGCCGCCCCCCAGTCCGCAGCCGATAGTGCGGGTAGCCAGGCCTCCCGCCGCCACCGTCCGATACTCACGTCGGGCTCGTCCCTCAGGGCCCGCCGCGGCTCCGCGGGACCCAGTAGCTCACTCAGCTCCTCGCCCAGCACCGCCTCTGCGGGAGAGACAACAGCCTCAGCGCCGACCCGCCCAGGGGCTCCCCACCTCCCGGCCCCCTACCCCCACAGCCGCCCTCACCCCAGTCGAGACCGCTCCCCGGGGCCGACAGCAGCCCCGCAGGCTCCCACTCGGCCTCAGCCACCGCCGCCATCGCTTCCGTCTTCCTCCCGAAACACACGTCTGCTTCCGGCAGCGCCGCGCCGCGCCCCGCCCCTCCCCGCCCCTCCCCTCCCCTCCCCGCCCGGCCCCTCCTCTCCTACGGCGGCCGCCCAGGGACACGCGGCTGCGGTACCGGCCCACCCGCGCGCAGGCGCACAGACGGTTTCTTAGGCGCAGCAGTTTATTGAGGCCTCACTGGCACAAGCCCGTCGCTAGAACCATGAACGGCGGGAGCAGGGAGGCAGCTCCGTCAGGGGACGGACCCGGCCCAGGCCTGGCCCCAGAGGGCGGCCAGCGGCCCCGGTGCTGGTGCACGTCTTTGCGGGGAGGCAGCGCCTGTGTGTGTGTGTGTGTGTGTGTGTGTGTGTGTGTGTGTGTGCGCGCACGCAACGGGGGTGCCGCTTCCACGGGCAGCGCAGGTCGGGACTGCAGGCAAAGACACGAAGCCCTTCTAGGCCCTGGCAGCAGCTCCTGCTGGGTCTGCGGCGCTGGGGAACACGGTGGGGTTTGGTCCGGGCCAGGCTGGAAGCACAGGGGGGAGAGAGCCCTTGGTACACCACCAAAAGCACCGTGCCTCCCCTTTCCCCACTTGAGGGATGTCCACACTTGGGAGCACCCCAGCCAGGAGGATAGCTGCCGAGGTGGATTTTCCACAAGTGACTCCGCAGAAGCAGCAGCACTTCCAGCCCACTGCAGGAGCACAGGGTGCTATATGCATCTTGTTAGCGCTCACCTTACAGGTTGGCATCATAGGCTGCATTGGTGAAGATGCCAGGCGAGCCTAGGTCACTGAAAGACAAACACAAGGATGTCACCTTCGGGGAGGGTGCAGGGGTGTGAAGGGCAGGGGTTTGAACAGGCCTATCAGCCCTGTATATAAAAACAGCCTCACACAGGTAGTTTGGAGTGAGAGCTGGTTGAGAGCAGAGTGGCTGCAGGGCTGTAATGGGCACAGAGCAGAGCCATCCTCCTCCAGAGCACAACTCTCACCTGGTAGGGTTCAAGAGCTTCTTCTTCTCCTCTGATAATGGTGTTGAAATGTCCACAGGGATAGAGCAGATGGAAACAAAACAGATCTCTTTAGTGAAGGACATGAGAAGCTGCAGCAGCAGCATCTGAAATTGAACTGAGTTTTACATGTGTGGGATGAAGCAAGGGTGGGGTGCTGAAGCACTTCCCTTCTTCCCCTTCATAGTGAAGGTGTTTTTCTGGCTTTCCCCTCTAGACGTGGTTGCTGACGCTTTCAGCTGGATAAATTGCCAAGAAGCCAACCAACTTGAAGCAAGTAAGACAAGTGGATTGAGGCAGTCACACTGTTAAACTCTTCTGATCATCCCACCCTCCCCTGGGACTCTGTAACCAACTTCCCTGGGAGCCCCCACTCAAAGTGACAGTGGGCTGCAGGAGGTGTTTCCTTACCTCTGTCACTGAGCCGCTTGGCTATGAGGGCAATGAGCATCCCAGAGAGCATGACACCAGCTACCGCCAGAGCTGTGCCACTGCTGTAGGCCAGGACTTGCTTTAAGAAGAGGGCACCATCCTCTAAAACGGATCCACAGACCCAGAGGTTAGAAAGTTGTCGGAAAGATTTCACAGTACCCAAGCTGCTAGGGTGCCCCCAACAATATTCAAGGTGTGCTGCAGGAAGCTGAACCCCCCACACTGCTTGAGGAGCATGGAGTCCCACCATACCTGCACAGACAGGGGGTTGCCTAGTCCAGTTCCCTGTGACTGCACACCAGAGCACCTCTGCTCCCATCCGAACAAACCCCTCCTCACAGGAAAAGGTGCACGTGGAGTTGTATGTGAAATTCCCATACATGTGAGAGCAGCTCAGGTGACTTCTGCTGGGGGGGTCCAGCTCCGGGCAGCTGATGGCTGGTGATAGAGAACAGCAGCAGCATCAGTAGGACAGGACAGATATTAGTGGGATGGGGACATGTGCGCTGGGGAGGTAGGGGATGAGCTGCCATGGACTGGGGTGCTAAGGGGAATTTGATGCTGAGGAAAGTCTGCTACAACAAAATCTACCTTTGCATTGTGGAGTTTCGCCAGTCCAGGTCCCCATGGCCGTGCACTTGTGGCTCTCCAGCCCCATCAGTGCAAACCCCATCTGGCAGGAGAAGACACACGTGGAGCCAAAAGCAAAATCCCCATGGAGGTGGGAGCAGTTCAGCTCTCCCCAGACTGGAGCATGGAGCTCTGGGCAGGTGATGGCTGCAGGGATAGAGATGCATTTCAAGCAGGAGCCTGGGAACTACAAGGCTAAACTGTTGGGATGAAAGGACCAAGATATCCAAGAACATCCTAGGATCAACCCAAGGCCTGTGACACCTTGAGCAGCAACTCTACCTTCACAGTGTGGGGAGTCCCCAGTCCAGGTCCCCATGGCTGTGCACGCAAGGCTTTCTGGCCCCATCAGTGTAAACCCTGTCTGGCAGGAGAAGGCACATGTGGAGCCGAAGGTGAAGTTCCCATGGAGGTGGGAGCAGTTCAGCTTTCCTTGGTCTGGAGCACTGAGCAGTGGGCAGGCAACAGCTGCAGGGTGAATAAGCATACTGCAAGCAGGAGCTTGGGAACAATGACACTGAACTGTTAGGATAACAGGACCAAGACCCCCTAGAACATCCTAGGGTTAACCCAAGGCACGTGACACCTTGAGCACTAACTGTACCTTCACAGTGTGGGGCATCCCCAGTCCAGGTTCCTGTGGCCGTGCACTCACGGCTCTCTGGCCCCATCAGTGCAAACCCCATCTGGCAGGAGAAGACACACGTGGAGCCAAAAGCAAAGTCCCCATGGAGGTGGGAGCAGTTCAACTCTCCCCGATCTGGAGCACTGAGCACTGGGCAGGTGATGGCTGCAGAGTAAATAGGCACACTTCAAGTAGGAGCCTGTGGACTATGATGCTAAACTGTTGGAGTAAGACATCCAAGACACCAGAGAACATCCTATGGTTACCCCAAGGCCTGTGACACATCGAGTAGCAACACTACCTTTGCACCGTGGAGTGTTCCCAGTCCAGGTCCCCATGGCTGTGCACTCACGGCTCTCTGGCCCCATCAGTGCAAACCCCGTCTGGCAGGAGAAGAGACACGTGGAGCCAAAGGCGAAGTCTCCATGGACGTGGGAGCAGTTCAGCTCTCCCCGGTCTGAAGCACTGAGCACCGGGCAGGTGATGGCTGTAGGGACAGAGGTACATTCCAAGCAGGAGCTTGGGGACTGGGAGACTAAACAGTTGGGAGAAAGTGGTTGGGGTGATGCTAGAATGTTTGCCAAGATTATTGACACCCTGAGCTCTAGCAGCAGCAATACCTGCACATCTTGGGGCATTCCCAGTCCAGGTCCCTGTAGCTGTGCAGTTCCGGGTCTCTGGCCCCATCAGTGCAAACCCTGTCTGGCAGGAAAAGGCACACGTGGAGCTGAAGGCGAAGTCCCCATGGAGGTGGGAGCAGTTCAGCTCTCCCCACTCTGGAGCATGGAGCTCTGGGCAGATGATGGCTGCAGGGATAGAGATGCATTTCAAGCAGGAGCCTGGGAACTACAAGGCTCAACTACTGGGATAAGAGGACCAAGATACCCAAGAATATCCTAGGATGTTACAGGATAACAACCTAGGATAACAACCCAAGGCCTGTGACACCTTAATTTTACCTTTGCAGCTTGGGGCATCCCCAGTCCAGGTCCCCGTGGCCATGCACTCACGGCTCTTCAACCCCATCAGTGTAAACCCTGCCTGGCAGGAGAAGGCACATGTGGAGCCGAAGGTGAAGTCCCCATGGAGGTGGGAGCAGTTCAGCTCTCCCCAGTCTGGAGCACTGAGCACTGGGCAGGTGATGGCTGCAGAGTAAAAATGCACACTTCAAGCAGAAGCTTGGGGACTGAGAGACTAAACTGCAGGGATCAAGAGGCTGGGGAACATCCTATGGTTACCCCAAGACCAATCACATCCTGAGCTCTAGCAGCAACTCTACCTTCACAGTGTGGGGTATCCCCAGTCCAGGTTCCTGTGGCTATACACTCGCGGCTTTCCGACCCCATCAGTGCAAATCCTGTCTGGCAGGAGAAGGCACACGTGGAGCCAAAGGCGAAGTCCCCGTGGAGGTGGGAGCAGTTCAGCTCTCCCCAGTCTGGAGCACTGAGCACTGGGCAGGTGATGGCTGCAGTGGGAGAGCAGGTCTCAGAGACAGGATAGATGAGGTTAAATCTAGGGATTAGGGCTGATTCCCAATCAAACAAAACCAAATCTATTGTGAAATGTCTTTGATTTACCTTTCTCACCCAGACAAGTTTTACCTCTTTAAAAACAGTAGCAGTGTAGCTGGTACTATGATTTTTCTGCCATATGATTTCCTGGGGGAAAAATTGCTGTCCTGCCAGAGACCTGTTTATCCCATGCACTATCCCTGGTCACAGCCCCCGGGATGAAGGCCTGCAGCTGCTGCAGTCCTACTCGGTGACACAGGAAAGTGGAGCAGGGCTCTCACATTCCCCAAAAAATCTCAGCACCTCTGTGTGACACCTGGCGGCAAACCCTCAAGCCACTGGCGTGAAGAACTTCCCTACCCCTGAAGCATAACGTAACATGGCTTTCTGTCCTTTGTGGCTTCCTGCTTGCTCTGTCCCTCCCATGTTATACCTAATCTTATCTCACAGATCCTCAACCCCACTCAGTGTGGCCCAGTCTTGCCCTTCCCGAGGCAGTGGGACAGCAGCCCCTCTTTGTTCCTCTCTGAGGACTCCCAAGATGCAGAGCACCTTCCAAGGTGGATTGGAGTGGGCTTGGCAAGACGGAAATAGTGCCAGCAGAGTGATGGAGGTGCCAAGATGCCGTTCTGCCCATGTGTTTGGTGCACACAGGGTGCTGGCACCTGGGTGGGATTGAGCATAGTGAGCAAGAGCATTGGGACAGCCAGGGAGAGCAGGGGGCTTACCCAGAGCTCACAGCCACTCTGCCAATCACAGCCTCATTGGGAAACTGCTTCCCACATGTGTCACCAGAAGGTACTTCCTTGATGGGTAAGGGGCCCAGTGAGCCCCTGCTTGCCACTGGGCATGCAGGGCTGGCCCCCTGAAAGTATCAATGCCACATCCCTGAGACCCCCAGCTGCTGGCAGGCCATACCTGTGCACATGGGAGTGTCTGCTGACCACTTCTGGGAAGCCAGGCACCGCAGGGTGCTTGCCCCTTGCTGTTCAAACCCTTCCTGGCATTCAAACACACAGGTGGAGTTGTAGCTGAAGCGTCCATAGGGATGGCTGCAGTTCATTTGCACTCCCTTGGGGTCGAGCTCAGTGCACTGCACAACTGGGAGAGACAAAGCACCGGCAGCCTGTTAGGAGCACAAATGAACTTGCCCACTTTGCTGCCAGGCTCAGGCTCTCCGGGAGGGAGGGAGGGATGGGGATGGATGGCTCACCATCCTCACACTCATGACCATGGAAGCCAGGGTAGCACTCGCAGCGGTAGCTCCCGATGGTCTCCACACACTTGCCACGCTGGCTGCACGGGAAGGGCTGGCAGGAGGCTGTGCACACAGAGGACAGTCATCAGAAGCCACTGGCCACCCTGCTGAGGTCCCCAGCCCACCTGATCCACGATCCCCCCAGCTCACCCCGGTAGCACAGTGCTTTTTTCCTCCGGTTGCAGGGCTCATCATTCCACTTGCCAGACTCAAACAGCCGCTTGATGTAGATCTCCACACAGTCCTGGTTGGAGCGGCGATTGTTGGGCTCCCCAGCTGCCCAGTTCTCTGCCTCCTTTGTCAGCGCCTTCTTAGTGCCCACCCAGGTCCAGGTGCCACTCAGTTTGCGGATGCCGATCCAGTAGTAGCGCCCATAGAAGGGCAGGCTCTTGTTGAGGTACTCAATCTCCTGCTTGTTCTGGATCGCCACCAGGTCAGTGAAGAAGGTCTGGCAGTAGTTCCTGGCCTGCTCCCATGTGTAGTCCCCTTGGTCACTGTAGTGGTATGTCCAGGCACTCACCTCCAGTTGTGTTATCGTGCCTGTGAGAATTGATGAGGTCCAGGACTGACACAGAAAGGATGGAAGCTAGGTCGGGAACTGAGTCCCTTGGCATATGAGGGTGGGCTAGGCCAAGAGATGCCAATGGCCAGCTGGGTGAGGGGATGTGTCAATGGGACGAGTGTGGGTGAGAATGGAAATGTGGGTGGATCAGGCATGGCAGAAGGAGCTGAGGTGAGACTGAGGAGGATGGCACAGAGATGAGGAAGGTGGGGGAGATGAGGTGAAAGCTGAGACAGAGGGCAGCATAGGATGGGGTAGGCAGAGCACAGGTAGCAGAAGAGCCCCAAGCGAAGATGGCAACCTCTCCTCCAGGACAAGAAATGAAAGCCCAACCCCACAGCCCTGCTCCCCTGCCCACAAAGGTTTCCCAAAGGGCAAAACCCAATATCAAGATGGTTCTTTAAACACAGTTCCTTCTTCAAGCACAGAGGTATACCACTTTGGTTTTCTTTCTTTACACTTCTACACAAGAGTCAACTTGGAGCAAGGCAGAGCAACAAGCATGCCCTCACCCCCAAAAGCACTTAGATCCCAACCTACTAATCTGAGTCAGAGATAGTCTGAAGAATCATGTAAAATTCAGTATTGCAAAATAACATCTTGCAAAAGTCAAGTTCACATCCTGGTCATGGCCACCAGGCAAGACAAAGCCACACCCAGAAGTGAACCCACACCCAGAAGTGAAGAGCACCCTGCTCTTACTTACAGCGTTTCACACCACAGCTTGATGCAATCAAAGGGTTTAGCCACAAAAAAGCTTCCTCCCACCTCCACAGAAGCAGGTATCTCCACAATTGCAAAAAACGATATGGGAATCCTATCTCCATTTAGCAGAAAGTGAGATGGGGATCAGAGTTTGCTCCAAACAACTGGCCTGGGGAACCCTGTGCCTCAAGAAAGCATATCAAACTGTGGTCGTGCATGCAGAGGTCTGGACATCGCAGATTAGATGTAAATGTAGGGGTTTCTGAGTCTAATTAGGTCTCTGGTTTGGTCAATTATGTTTTTTCTAAGCAAAATTCCCATAATTTGTCTGGTTTTCCTTGTGAAGAGCAAACTATCCACTTTGTTGAAAACAACCAAAGCTGAGGAAATGGTGGCCTTCAGCTACAGCCCTCCACCACTTGGGAGTTTGGGGCTGCAGGAGAGAAGCCCAGGGCACTTCCTGGGAAACTGCTCCAACCTCAGCTCCCACCACCTACCTCCTGGCCCTTGCTACCCTCCCAGCACAGCTTAGGGCAGCTGCCCTGCTACCCTCACACACTCCAGCCCCAAACCAAGAAGGACCAAGGGAGCCCATCTGCTGCATGCCCATTCTTCACATGCTCTCCTACCTCTTTCCTCCAGCTCCACCAGCAACACCCTCTCTGTAGCAAAACTCATCCCCACTCCTTCCACACAGCCTTGTGTTACCTCTCCCTGCTCACTTGGAGCTGAACCCCAGGTGGGTGCTGTTTGCCTGCATTTCCATCCCCAGGCAGATGCAGCGCCCTCCCAGCCCAGAAAGATCCAGCCCTGGGCTGGCAGCCATGGGGGTTGTGAGTGATGACCTCCCAAAATAATACTGTTGCCCTTCTTCAATTTCCTGGGCTTGCAGGCTCCCTGGCAGTAGAGTCATACTGAGCAGCTGGAGAGTGGCTTACCCCATGCAATGGCAGCGATGCCCAGGTAGCAGATGCCATGAGAGCTCAGAGCCCATGTCCTTCCAGCAGACCGCAGTCCCGGAGCAGTGCCCTGCATGTCAGGGAGAGAGGTATGAGCATGCATGGGGGCTTACGGGCGGGGCTGTGCATCCACACCCCTGCCAGGTAGTCCTGGTAGCCACATGGGTACGTTGCTTATGCTGGCTCACACAGAGGCACGCTGTGTGCAGGTACTGCTATGCTGTAGAATGGGCCTCTCTAGTGAGGCACAGTGCCGGCGCTGTGCCTATAGCACAGCTGGACAGTGGGGGAGCCCATCTGCAGTTCACTCCTGGGGAGCCCCTAAGTACAGGGCATACTCTCCCCACACACCAAGGGCTGGCATCTGCCTCCAGCAGTAGCACCATTTCCTGGCAGTATCCACCTATAGCCCTGCCCTCCCCTAATTCCCTTTTTTAAGCAGACCCCAACACATCCCCAAGGAAAAGAGAAGGACTTACCATGTCAGCACCACAGACACGCCTTGCCCAGCTGCTGGCAGTGCCAGGCGCATCTGCCCCTCTGCGGGCAGTGGTGCTCACACTTCCTCCAAGTGTGCAGAGCATTGCTCCCTGCTCTTGTCTTCTTCCCCTCCCACCCCAGCCCTGCTGCCAACCCGCATCCTGCCCTGCACTCCCGCCTCCCCCAGCACAGGGCTCTCCCACCTGCAGAGACCCCGCTCCCAGCCTGAAGCCAGAGAGGAGCAGCAGGGTCAGCCCTGGCTGCAGCCCTGGCAGGACTCAGCTCAATGTCTGCCCCATGGCACAGGAGCTGGGTGCATCCCCAAGGGGACATGACAGCCACAGGAGCAGACAGACAACAAGCTGGGCTTGCCCAAGCCCCCCAGGAGGTGGAGAAGGGTCCCCCAGGAAGGGTCCAGCCCGTGGTGCCCAGGGCACTGAGACCTCTCTAACCCACCAAGTCCATGTTTCTTCACAGGTGTTTGGAGGACAGAGGAGGGATGAGCTGTGATGAGCTCCCACGTGGGCTAAGTGGGAGCGTGGCTCACAGCCTGCCAGCTCCTGTGCTGGATGCTCTCCTTGCTTGCAGGCTTTTTCCTCTGGCTGTGAAGCTTCATATACCATTTATAAATGGTTACTTACACAATGAATTTTCCCATCTTTGCCTTTAAGTCTTTATGAGAAAGTTCCAAGAACATGCCAGAGGAATTTCCCAGGAGTTGTTAACATCCTTTAGGAACTTCCACTGGTGCTTCAGGAACATGCCTCATTGTGTCCACCTCCCGTTGGATCACTCTTGAATCATCATAAATCTTTCCTTACCCCATTCTGTTTTTAAGTTAAATTGACTTGGCAGGTTTTCTGCAGGAATTACTCTGCTCTCTTCCAGTTAAAGCCAAAGTGTGAGCCATGCAAGTCACATGCATTTTCCAGTTCCATAGAAATTGATGCTGCTCCACTGGGACTCATGCTAGACAAAAGCAGGAACCCATCCCACAAAAGCTGTAACCCACTACGATGACTTTATACCTGGCCAATGTAAATGAATCTTGGTTCCTGTCTCTGGGTATTTTCCTTGCAAAAATGTTCAATTTTACTGTAATTGTCTACTTTTATGGAATTGCTGAGGATGAGCCTGTGTGTCCAGTAATCCAGGAGCACTCACTTTCTAGCAGCTCATGTACAGAGGGTACAGTTACAGCTAGGAAAGAAGCAGATGGGCAGGCAAAGAAGCTAAAGGGCCACTGCTGGGGCAGGAGAGCAACTCCAGATGCTGAGAGTCACCTGAGGAGGGTTGAAACTGTCTCTCCTAATGGTGTGAGACCTGCTGCGAGTCAGAGAGGTGCTCATAGGTGTATGGCCCTGGGAGGCAGCAGGCTGTGCCCCTGCCAGTTTCACTTCTGCTGCAACTCAGGATGGTAGGGCAGAGCAGTAGGAATAAAATATTCCCACCTTTATTTTTGTAGCTACAAATAGTTTCTGGTATTGTTTGAAAAACAGAATCAGAGTGGATGAGACCTAGAGGCTGCCACCACAAAAACACAGCCAAGTTCAAAGTTCTTTGTGGGGACAGGTGCCCTGTGCCCACAGGTGCCTGGGCTCAGAGAGCGGTTCCTGCACAGCAGGTTGCTTTGCAGGTAGTCAAAAAAGGTACACTTTGTGGGAGGGAGAGAAGGCCTGAATTAGCTTTATAGCTCTGCTGGAGCTGGGTGATCACCAAGAGCCCTTTCACATCTTGGGTGTTTTCCAAGGCTCAGACCCCCAGGAAGGATTCAGGATGCTGCAGGAATCTACAATGGAAATATGCTTCCTTTGCTATGCCCTGGTCCTGAGCCATAGACAGAGGTGATGATCCCTCTCACGGGAGAGCCCTGCTGTAGGCAGTATATGTGGGGAGGGGGCATGGGTGCCCTTCCCATCTACAAACCACTGCCAGCGGTTGGGCAACCCACCCGCAGGCTGTGACTGCAGGGCTGGCCAGGGGAAAGTGGCTCAGCTGCTGCAGCTATCGCTGCCCACCCAGGCTGATGCTCTGTGCCCTCTCAGCATGCTCAGCCGTGCTGCAGCAGGGTCTCACGGGCAGGGCAGGGTGCGATGCTTGCAGGAGTACCCAGACAGCACTGGGGGCACCCAGGTGTGGCTGGGACCATTGGTGCCAGGGGCTGTACGTGCTGTGTGGGGAGGTGGCACTGGCCCTAGCTCCTGCAGAGCTCCAGGGGCAAGTCCAGGCTGTGCCCCACAGTGTGTCCCCAGGGAGTGCCCAGAACCTGGTGCAGTGAGACCCTGGGGCACACATCACCACCATGCTACACACTCATACCGCCCCCCCCCCCCCAAACCCCTCCCCCATGCAGAGGCACCCTTGTTTTTGGCAGAGGCTCCAGCCCCACTGTTCACGTCCTTGTGCAATGTCCCCTGGCAAACCACAGAGGAACCGAGTCACCCTGACTAAGCCAGCCTGGTTCAGCTGCTGACCACAATATAGTGGACACCTTCCTGGGAAGCCCCCTCGCTCCCAGGGAGGGATCAGCAACTCACCTGAGAGAGGAGGCACACAATGGCACCCTTCAGGGGTGTGGTGTGGTACCAGCAGGAACCCAGACCATGACAGGGTGCAGCCCTGCTGCTTCCATCCCCAGCTCCACCGTGGGGACAGAGGTGGCTCTCTCTGAGGCTTTAGAGGCACCTTCTGAGTGCAGGCAGGGGATGGCTCCTTCCCACCTCAGGGTTAGTAGAGGGTGGTTGACCCATAGAGTGTTCCTGAGCCTCAGGGTGCCTTTGGGCACATCTCCCAGTGCAAGACCTGGTCTGCAGCCTGAGTAGCCACTCTCCTCGGATGGCCCTGGAGGAAAGCAGTGCCTGATAAAATCTTTTTCATCATTTGAAAGCGTTTGGCCACAGGAAGATGTGTTATCCAAGGGCTGCCCTGGCTTGGAGTGGGGGAGATGGTTGCGAGCATTAGCTAGGGACAGGACAGGGGTGCTTTAAGACAGCCCCTGTGGAGCAAAAATATCCTCTGCTCCAGCCAGGAAATCCTGTGGCATCCCCTCCGGCAGGCACTGTGCCCAGCTGCATTTTCCCTGAGGCAGGAGGATTCTTGAGGATGTTCTTCATCTTTCATCAGGCCAGGGATGGGCTTTCCTCTTTCTCACCTCCCTGCTTCAGCACAGTCGTTTGATGCTTCTCCCCTGGGATCTCCACTATCTTTCTGCTCCAAGAAGCTACTGTGTTGTGACTTGCCAGTCTATTTAAATTGCCAATTTATTTTCTGCAGGTAGGGCAGGCACTGGCATTATGTGCATTTTAAGGTCTTTTTTACATCTCAGCCTCTTTGCTTTTGTGGAGCTGCAAACTGCCCTGTCCATGCTGCCCATGCTGTTGCAAACTGCTGGGCTTTGCCCTGTGCAGCATCCTCCAGTTGTGTGTGACACCAGGCAAGAGGTATCCCCATCTGAATTGCTACTATTGTGGCTGTCCAGCTTTCCGTACACAGGGTCGGGTGGTGCTTGCTGAAGTTACCTTTCTAAAAGTCCTGACTTCTGGGGCAAGCCCCTGAAAGAAAAAAATAAAAGCTAAAATAATGAGGGGAAAGATGTTGCTAACCATTTGTTGTCACCTTTGAACTGAAGTGACTTCCTTCTCCTCCCTCTTGCTGTTCTGCTTTCAGAGCAAGATGGTTACAAACACCAATTAAACCGTGCTTGGGCCATGGGCAGAGGAGTACAGGATTTTTCCTATCTGAGCAGTAAAATAAAAGGTATTTTCTGCACTTTTCTGCTATGAAATGGCAAGGAAACATGGGGAGTGCTTTCCTAGGTTCTTTTTATTTTTATTCACCCTTGAAAGGAAAAGGACTGTTTTGCAGAGAGGCATTTTGGGTGGACTCACCAGCCTGACAGGAAACAAGGCAGGATCTGCTCCTTCCACCCATACCTGCTGCTCTGCCAGGGACTCAGTTGGCCCAGCCCTGTGATGGGACTGTATCTGGCTCCTCTGGGGAGAGCTGCATGCAGGGGGCAGTTCCCTGGGCTGCCCTGCTCCAACCACAGCTGCCAACCCTCCTCTTCTGCCTCTGGCAGTCAAAGGCTTCCTGGTGCCCAGCAGCTAGAAAACCCACTTCTGCTCTTAAAGGCACTCACATCCTTCGGCAGAGTCGTGGGGCTGGGAGCAGCGTCCGTCCTGATGAGCACCAGCGCGGGCAGTGAGCGGAGCTGTGCCGGCTGCCGCGCCTCTCCCCTCTGCTGTGGGGGTGCCGCGAGGGCACGGTGGGGCTGCTGGGGGCCGCTGTAATGTGTCTGCTGGCCTGCAGACCATTGCTCTCCACAATGAGCCGGAGAAGTCCTGCCCCAGGGAAGTCCATGATGACCACCCCCCAGCACACGGGCCGTCCCCGCCGGCGCCACAGGTGCTGGTAGCAGCGTGGGTTCACAAAGCGGGCCACCTCCTCGGGGCAGGTGAAGAGCCCGTTGCCAGAGCAGAAGGTGAGGTGCATGGTGGCAGGGTCCCCGCTGGCCGCCCTCTCCAGGTGCCGCCGTGCCTGCACCCACTTGCGCTCCAGTGAGAGCACGTTCCAGGCATCACTGATGCTCAGCTGCTCATAGGGGATGCCCAGCACCTCCTGCGCCAGCGCCTCCAGCACCACAATCTTCCCTCGCACCTGGCCCAGCGTTGGCACCTCCTCCCGGCACCACACACAGCCCTGTCCCTCCTCCAGTAAGCAGCGCTGCAGCTGGGAGGCGAAGCCAGGCCGGGAGAAGATGGGCAGCTCCTCCTTGATGCGCATGAGCACAGCCTCACCGGGGTGTGCGCGGAGGAAGCGCAGGGTGCGGCGCAGGACCCCCCGCAGGCTGGCCCGCTGGAAGGTGCAGAGATGGTACACATGGAGCTCGCCCCGTGCCAGCCTGCAGCGCACATCCAGGAAGCGGACACCAGCTGCCAGCTGAGCCTCCAGGCCCCAGCTCTGGCACCGCAGGCGCCGGCCACCGAACAGGCTGAGGGAGTCGTGGGTGCCAGGGATTGAGAGGCGGGAGAGGGGCAGGGAATCGGGGAGCCCCGCCATCCAGTCAGGGCAGCAGGCTGATGGCTGGGGCGTGCAGTCAAACGCTGCGCTGCGCCAGCACTGCGCCTCCATGCCACTGGGAGAGTAGACACCCGGTGCCTGGCCAGCCGTACAGAGGCCTGCCGTGGAGGAGAAGCATAACATGAGCAGTGGGAGCACCACATGGCCCCATGCATCCCAATCCCACTCCTGCCCAGAGGTGTCCCCACCATGCTATGAAACCCTATGGCATACCACGCACCCCGTACATGTTGCTGCCAACACTCTGCAGCATCGCACTATATAGTTCCCAGTCCCCCTCCCGTTTTCAAGCACTCATCCCACTACCCTGGACACCCACTACACGCCAGCCTTCCCGTCCTGCGCCTACCTGGGTTTGCCTGTGGCTGTGGGATGCAGGCCACCAGATGGGACGCACAGCCATGGGTGCCAGAGGCACTCTGGCAAGTAGAGCGGGATGCTGGCCATTAACCCTGTGATGGTCATGACGCGCATCCTGCCTTGCATGTGGCACATGCACCAGGGATTCATCCTCAGCCCTCGGCCAAGAGGAGTGCTCGGCAGACGTGCCGGGCTGGAAAATCACCTGGCTGATCCCTAAAGCCTGTGCACCTCCCTTCTCAGGAATCAGGATAAACGGGATTGGGGTGCTGCAGGGCCCCTTAATGCTACCTGTGGGAGCAGCTAGCTGTGCAGAGCCCCTGGGTGCCCACTGCAGAGCCATGTCCCAGGTTGGCTTTCAATGGCACCTGGCCTGCCCTGTTGATGATTGCCATTGTCCCTCTCATTGTCCCGGCAGCTGGTGCCTGGGGTGGGTAACTTGCCTGCTGCCTTGAGGACACAGCTATGGGGCACGCTGGCCAGCAGCGCACTCTGCATCAAATGGGTTTGGGGAGGAGATCACAGACACCTGTAAGCATCCCACCAGGAATACATCCCCTCCGCCTGAGCATGGAGGGCAGAGGACTCACAGGATCACAGAACTGTTAGGGTTGGAAGGAACCTCGGCAGATAATCCAGTCCACCCCCCCTGCTAAGGCAGGGGCACCCAGAGCAGGTTACACAGAACGCATCCAGGCAAGTTTTAAATATCTCCAGAGACAGAGACTCCATGACCCCCCTGGCAGCCTGTTCCAGTGTTCTGCCACCCTCAGCATAAAGCGTTCTTCTTCATGTTGAGGTGAAACTTCCTGTGTTTTAGTTTTATTGCTCCTCGTCCCTGTCGCTAAGACCACTGTAAAGCATCTGGCACCATGCAGCCTTCCAGGACGGCTTTCTGCTGTGGGCTCTGCCACTGCAAGGACACCGAGCGCAAGGACAGGAAGGGGAGCACTAGTATATTGTGTCCCTGTGCGCTCGGAGCAGCAGCGAGACTGAGGCGGGTCCCCTCGGGCAGCCCCTGCTCGGGACCCCGGGCAGCCTCCCTGTGCTACCTCCCCTACGCGCTGAACGCAGCCCCACGTTGAACTCCAGCAGCTTCTGTCCGCCTCCCTGGCCCCGCTGCCAGCGCGGCCAGGAAGAGCCCTGCTCGCCGGGCGGTAAAGAGCGTGCAGGCGGAAGAGGCCCGCCCCACCTCGCTCGGCATGGCGGCGGAGGGCAGTAACGGCGGCAGGGGCAGGTCCTGCTTCGTGCTGGGCGCCTCCGGGGAGACGGGCCGGGTGCTGCTGCGGGAGCTGCTGGCCCGGCAGCTCTTTGCCAGGGTGACGCTGATCGGGCGGCGCTGGCTGAGCCTGGGCGAGGAGACCGGCGCGGCCGTGGTGCGTTGGGCCGGGCGTCCCTCCGGGGTCCCGGGAGCCGGGGTGGCCGCGCTGACCCTTGGGCTCCCCGCAGGAGCAGGTTGTGGTGGACTTCGAGCGGCTGAGCGAGCACAATGCTGCCTTCCGGGGACACGACGTCGGCTTCTGCTGCCTGGGCACCACCAGGGCCAAGGCTGGCGTGGTGAGTGGGGCCCCGGGGGAAGCAGGGGTCCTGCCTGCCCTCTCCCTCCCATGCTGACCCTCCTCTGTCCTTTACCCACAGGATGGCTTCATCCGTGTGGACCGGGACTACGTTGGGCAGGCGGCAGAGCTGGCGCGGGCAGGGGGCTGCAAACACTTCCTCCTGCAGTCCTCCCGGGGGGCAAACCAGCACAGCCGCTTTCTCTATCTCCGGGTGAAGGTGAGGAGGCGCATGAGGGGAGCTTCTGATGTTCGTGCAGGAGTCAGAAAATGCTGGGATGCTCAGGAATGAAGCAGGAGCTGAGGTCTCTAGAGATGAGAATGGCTCTGGGGGTCCTGCTAGGGCACAAGGGAATGAGGGAGGGGGCCTGGCTGGACAGCTGTGCAACTGGCTTTGTCCAAAGCAGCACAACCCTGGCATATAGCGTCTGTCTCCCTCTTCAGACCACAGAAGGACCTGCTCAGGTCTCCAGCCCGATCCCAGCTCCCCAAACTGGGACGGCTTACTAGGTGAGGAGGCTCAGGGCTGTGTCCAGATGAGATGTGAGCTATCCCAGGGTGGAGAACCCGCAGGCTCCCCATGTGGAACCGTGATCATTGTGAAGGTTTTTTGTGTGCTGCAGCCCCCAGCATCTACTGGGCTCACTACTGTCTCCAGTGTCCTGTTCTGGGATCCCTGGGCTGGGCGCTGTCCATATGCTGTCTCAGGAGCATCCAGTTGCAGTTAGCATGATGGTTGCCAGGGTGCACTGCTGATTAACAGTCCACCACCTTGGACGCTCGCCCTCCACTGCCTTTTCCTGGGGAGTTGCTGGCTGCCCTGGCTGTGTCTGGCCTGTACCAGCTTTACATTTGCTTTAGTGCAGTCCTGCCCATTACTTTACAGCCCTTTCCTGCCAATTTACGGCATGGGAGGGATGGTACTTGCAGTCACCCTTGTCTCCTTTCGTCCTGCCCTACTGCTGTGACAGGGAGAAGTGGAGAACCTGGTCCAAGCTGTTGGTTTTGATCGCTGTACCATTCTCCGGCCAGCGTGAGTAGCAGTCGAGGGAGGGTGGGCACAGGACTTGGGTGGAGGGTTGCCAGGTCAGCGGGCTAGGAGATGGAGAAAGAAAGGATCTGTAAGGGGAGGGCTGGGGAGAGAAATGGAAAAAGCCACCAGCTGCAGATGCAGCTCCTGGATAAGCACACTGCTTCCCAGTGCTGCAGGGAGCAAGCACAGCAGTTTACCATGGCCTGTATCCCAATGCTAGTGTCACATGCCATGTAAGAAGAGGACTGGGTTGAAAGCAGAGGTTGAGGGACATAGGTCAAAGCTTATCTCTGCACAGACCTTGACCTTCAGCAGAGGAGATACTTGCCTGTATCGCTTCAGGTGTACTGTGCTCTTGCCACCTGGGAGTACTGGCATACTAGTTTTGACAGCACAGTGGGGAAAGGATTTTTATGTCCCAGGACTCAGCTTGGTCACGTTTTGGGACCCTGCCAAAGCCTCGTGGGTTTAGCAAGCTGGGCTGGGCCCCTAGCACAGCTGGAGAACCCAGTCTCCAGCTTTCTCCTGAGGGATGGCTTCAGTCTGACCCACCTTCCCTGCTCGCTCTGCAGGGTGCTGCTGTGCAAACGCCAGGAGTCCCGGCCCATGGAGTGGATAGCCCGGCAGTTTCTGGGTGTTGTGGCTTGGGTCTTCCCTACTGCTTATTCAGTACCTGTGGAAACGGTGGCCAGGGCTATGGTGGCCAGTGTGCTGCAGCCAGGCAAGGGGAAGGTGGAGGTGCTGGAGAATGGGGACATCCATAAGCTGGGAAAGGCAGTGTCACAGCAGGGCACATAGAGTAAAAAGGACGGGCAGGAAAGAGTTTGATTCACTGTTCAGATACTCTTCTGGGCCAAGGATGAGTGCACATGTGGGATAGGGGCAGGGTGCTCTCATGGCCAGCGTGGAGGTAGAGATGCACTTCTTTGCATGTCAGCTGGTTCTGTAGACTAATCAAAAATGCAGGTGCTGGTTGGTGGGTGACAAGAAACTATGTGCTTTTCTGCTGGGATCCAGCATGCAAACCTGGGTAAAAAAGGTGTAATACGGGCAAATTTTATTTCTTAAATAAAATCGTGTGACTGGTCTGTTTGTGCCATCTTTGGGTTGAAATTGTGTCTGTCACCTCGTCAATTGAACTGCATCTGTTCACAAATTGTGCCTTTGGTGACCTTTCAGCAAGCACACACAGGCAGGTGGCCATGCTGTGGACAGCCACAGGAAAGCAGAGGCAGTGCACAGCTGCCTGTGCTGAGGCTGCACTCCACAGAGCACACGGTGGCACCAGTGCCACTTAAATAGTGGAGCTCCTGGAAGCTCAACAGTATTTGGTGAGGTGCCTAGGGTGTGAGGTGCCTAGGGTCGTGGCTCTGCCTGCAGTAGGTCTCTTGACCTGCCTCTCTGTCCTCACTGATCTGCTGTGGGTGCAGAGGGACTGCTACAGGGATGCTGCTGTTCAGAACCAGACTGTCACTTTAGTACCTGTAGGAGCATAAACACTATGCAAATGCTTGCATTGACTTGAAAATGCCTGTACCAAGCAGGCTTCTCTGGGCTTTCCTTACAGACACAAGTGAACCAGAGCTCAGCCCTATGTTCCCGAGGGTGCTCTGCATGTGTAAGAGGTGATGCCAGCCCCATGCACATCTCAGGCTGGGTTTGCCCCTGCCCCATGCTGTCCTAGAAGAGGAGCAGGTCCCTGCCGTGGGCACAGAACAGGCACAAGGAACAGTGCCGTGTTCCAGCCTCATCCCTGACCGCTCTCAGGGTCGAGGAACTCAGTGGCTCTGCAGCTGGGACATGAGTCTTACGTGACTCCTGAATTCCCAGCTGGCCAGAGTCCCAGTGCTCTGGGTAGTGCTGCTTTCCAGGATTTTCTGTTCAACCTCACCCATGGCTCCTGTGTCAGTGACTTGGCTGTGGTGAGTGGAGTGAGCCTGACTCTCTTCTCCTTCCTCTTACACGAGCACTTTACTCATCGGGCTGGGCCTCAGAAGCTTGGGGGAGGCAGCTGGCTGGTATAGCCTCAAACTGTGTGTTAATGGGGAGTGTGTTAATGGACTCCTCAAACACGTGTAAGGCTTAGTCCAAAGGTAACAAATGAGGGGCCATGGAGCCATAATTACTGATGAGAGCAAACTCAATACTTTTAGAGTAATATTTAGTGTCAAAAGGGAAATACGAGGTAGGCTGGTCAGGAGCATCACACAAGTATCTGAGGGGCGTTAAGCTTACGCTCACAAAGTCTGTGTATGCATGCAGCACTGGATTACATAGGCATAAAAGCATGCCAACGCACAAAGAGATTCTTGAGAAAAGGCGATGTGCTTACACAGAGTGAAAATGAACACCTGAAGTGGTAGACCTTAAAGGAAGTGAAAATTGAAAGGCAAGGCACAGAAGATTTGAAGAAAGCATCCTAAAGGCATAAAAATTAATCATAACGATGTAAGAAGCCCCAGGGATGGAACATGACCTGGCTCTGTAAGAAGGAAAGAGATATCACAGAAAGGCTTGGTGAGTTACTTGCAGTGGCCTTTACTCTGTAGGAGCTCACACCAGCATTATGCCTTAGGGGACAAAGCACCTGGGGGGGAGGGGGGAGAATAATTGCTTTAAACCCCACTTTTAGAACACATGGTTAGAAACCTCCTGGAAGGAGTGCAGACAAACTGCCGAACAGTTGCCTGGGTGAGAATTACAGCAATCCCTTGACCAGAAAGTCAGTGTTGTTACATATGATGCTAATTTTTAAGAAGTTCCAGTGGGAACCAGGAAACCACAAAGCAGCAAGGCTGCCTTCTATAAAAGTCAAGTAGTTAGAAAGGATAATAAAGTCTTGAAATAACATGGCCTAGGATAAATCTGGTGTAATGGGAGATTCCACATGTTTTTTGAGGGGGCAGTTGCAAGGCACAAACCTAGAACGCTCTTGGGGGAAGCCAGCCATTGTGTACACAAGACAACTTGGTCCTCAGAGTGCACTTGGGTCTCCAAAAAGCTCTCCCAGAAGAGCTCTTAAAGAAATTCAGCTGTCGTGGGAAGAAAAGAAAGGTCTGAGTAGTTTCTTATTGGAAATATTTTCTTAGCGCTTTAAAGCCTTGAAACACACAAACCAAACATTTCTTACTGGACAAAGGTCCATGGAAAACACAAGCTATTTCTGTGTAACCCTTGTTTCTGCTCAGTGGTATATGGTTTCTTTTTCAGTGTTCCAGAAAAGTCTCTGCTGAAACGCACAACTACAATCCCAGCACATTATATCCCAGTATAGCTTCTTTATCACCCTGCATGGAGTTTCATCAGTCATTCTGGACCTAAATTTCCACAACTTGTTCTGTGCATTCATTACACCCCCGCCCTAAGGCTGTGGAAGAAATTAAAGAGCATTAGTCACTGAGGAGAGCCACAAAAACAGGGGATTTGCCCATGCAGGGCTGAAAGAGGTATGAAGTAGGTAAGTCTTTAGGGGGTAGACCCAGTTCCTCTGTGGAGTCTCTCAGGACAAAGCTCTGGGCTCCTCCGGGCAGTGGGAGGTCTGCAGAGCTGGAGCCATGCCTCCCGCACACCTGGAGCAGCTGCCTGCTTTCCAGGGGCATGCAGCTCAGCTGGAGCTGGGAGGAGAGCACGTAGGAGTGTCTGTCTGCTGGACAGCGTTTGCACAAACCGCCTGATCCCACAGATCCGAGCTCCCCTGGGATTTTGACGATGACTTTATTACTGAAGATAAATGAGAAAAAATAACTGTATTCCCAATGGCTCAGCAGCTGAGTGCGAGGCTGGGGGGGCTTCCCATGTGGTCCCATGGCCTCGCTGTTCTTCCCAGCCCTGGAGCTGTGAGAACCACCGGCACCTCTCACCCACCCGCCACTGCCACCCGCTCCCCACACCGGGAGGTGCCCAGCGGGCTGGCAAAGCACCCTGCAAACAGCACCTCGGTGTCAAAGGGGCTTTTCAGAGCAGCCATGGAGCTGGCAGGCGCTGACCTGACACTCGCCAGAACACCCTGGTGACATCTCTGCTAGCAGATGAATGGCCTGGACGTGCCCTCTGACCCCGAGGGCAACTGGCACAGCCTATGAAAAGTGCTGAGCTTGCAAAGAGCAGGGCGCTGCATCACAGCTGCTGGGACATGGGGCAATCAGGCTCTGGGCTACCCCCAAATTCGGGTGAAGCATCTCCGTGCTCATTACGGTGCCTCACCCCAGCTCCTTTGTGAAAAGCAGCCTGTGAAGGACTAAACTACCTCCATCCTCTGCGGCTGCCCTTGTTTCCTGCTCCCCTCAGTGAGGCACAAGGTGGGCTAGTGGACATATCAGTGCCAGGCAGTGGGAAGGAACTTGGAACCCCTGCTTGAGTCCATCCAGGGGTCTCTCATCAGCCCAAGTTCAGGCAAACATCATTCAAGAATCTCATCCTTTGAAATGGCTGTACTTTTTTCATTCAATTTCTATTGCAAGCCAGTAAAAAGCTAGCCCAAGCTTTGCAGGGATACAGAGTTTCCAGCAGACTTGCAGCTTTCAGTTAACTCACATGCTGAGATGCAGAAGCTGGCTTGCTGCATAATCCCAAAACAGCAGAAAACAGGACTACAATACAAGCCCGAAGTGCGTCCAGGAACAGGAGCCAGAGCCACGCACACCTCTGACATAGCTCAAGGGGGCAAGAAATAAGGCTCAAGGCTGAGCTTAAATGTAGCCCTGGGCCGAGGGAGCAGGTGGGGTTGGTCAGCACAGTTAAGGCCCTTGGGTTGTGGACAGCCAGGGAGAGGAGCAAGGTCCCCTGTTTCCAGCTCTGAGCTGTGGATGTTAAACAAGGCACTTAGATGCACATTTCCATAGTCACCCAGGCAGCCGAGGTCAGGACAGGCAGGTGGCAGACTTTCAGGGTGAATCGTGAGCCCACACCTCGGGTGGGATGCCCGGGGAGCAGGAGATGGAAGCAGAGTGGAGCCTCACACCTTCTGTACTGTGCCTGTGCCAGTGGCTGTAATTGTACAGGCACTGTTGTGGGGTGGCAGAGACCCATGCGGGTGTGAGCAAGTCCTGCTACACAAACTGCAGGAGAGCTGGTGCTGAGGCTCTGCTTGTGTTTGAGGGTTTCCCCCTCATGCAGACCTAGGTGATGGGCCATGGCCCAGGTGACCCTGCTGAGGGCAGGCTGTCACATTCTGGCTGACAGGCAGCAGGGAGAGACCCAGGATGGCTGTGTTACCATCTCCACTCCAAGCACAGCTAAGCCGTGTTAAGAGTGACTCCATGGCAGCTGCTGGTTGCAGCTCGTCATCCGCCTCAGTGGCACAGGGAGCCACTGCGTGAGGGCTTTGACTATGGAATCACTCAGAGCCAGGCTGGTCCCAGTGTTCACCATGGTTTGCTTGGCAGCAGCAGCCTCACTGGCTGGGGTTTGCCCATACACTGTGCTGGGTGCCTGGCTGAGGCTGGAAGAAACTCATGCCACAGATGACAGCACTATAGAGAGGCACTGGCTCTGTGGTTGCGAGTTAGTGGTGCAGTCAAAGAGATCTTACCCAAGCAAACAGAAATGCCACAGTGCTGTGTAGCACCCAAGCCTTAAGGAAGCAAGGGACTGCGATGGGACAGAGCTATGCCGGGTGAGCCAGGGACCAGTCCCTGTTCAGGCCCTGCATCCCACGTTGTGGTCACTCCAGTCTCTGGTGTGTTTTACTGCTCTGAAGTGGCATCAAAAAGGATCCAGATTTTGCACATAATAAAATTCTGGGTGGGATTTTTTTTGGCCTTATCAAAGTGTCACTGTCAGATAAAACTGCAACATTTGCTACGATTAAAAGTTTTTTTTATGCTTATATTAAAATAAATTTGTTCTGGAACAACAGCCACTGTCACTCACCAGCTGATAACCACTGTTGAAACTGTGGATATTTTGACATTAGCCACAGCCTTCAATTCAACAGCAGGACTTCTCATAAGCTCTTTTTAAGAAAGTGACATTTTGCACTGGAAAATACCTTTCTTGAATGAAATATTTCTGCCTGGCTTATCTAAATACTGGTATGTCATTAAGGAGAAACTCTATGGGCTTCTTGAAGTGCCCCAAACAGCAGCCTGGCCCTTCGAGTTTGATTATCAGATCAACCCCAGAAAAAAGCACATTTTTTTTCCCCTTGTGTGAGCTTAGGGAGTAGAAAACAATATCCAGAAGCTGCTGTGCTGGGGCCAGCTGGGGAGGACGAACGGCATTGGTTACAGAGCTGGCGGGGGTCCAGCTCCCTGTGCTATATAGGAGCAAGAGCGGGAGCTAGGCTTCAGACTGAGCCACTGCCTGCTTTAGACGTCTTTCGCACCTTTCTCCTCCCGAGGAAAGCTACAGCCTACAAGATGTGCAAAGGACTAGCAGCACTGCCCCACACATGCCTGGAGAGGTGAGAGCGGACAGCCCGTGAGGGGATGGGGGGAGCCTGCCTCCCCCCAGGGCTCTGCCAGGGGTGGCTGCGGGCAGAGAGGCTCTTCCTATAGCACATTCCCATGATGGACATCTTCAATTGGGACTGGGGTGGCCCAGCTCTGAGGAGGGAGGGAAGGGAGGCTTACTGGCAGGGTCTCAGCAGGTTGCTGCAAGTGGCTAAGACCCCTGGGGGGTGAGCACTGATGCAGTCCAGAACTCTCCTCTCCAGCCTGCGAGCCTTTCTGAGGGGTGAGTTTGGGCCCCTACCTATCCTCAACCTCATCTGCTCCCCTGTGCGAGCCTGGAGCAGGGGTGTGTTGTCCTCAGATCCTAATTGCAAAACACAGGAGGTGGGGAAAGAGTAGGAAAGTGGTTGTCTTTCTGAGGCACAAACAGCCTGGCTCCAAAGTGCCTCAAAATCCTCTTGATGTGCCTATGTCTCCCTCACAGACAGATCAGCCATCCCCAGCCCCTCTCAAGAGGCTCAGCTCTGTGCAGAGCACCCACTCTGCCTCACTTGTGGCAGATGACCATCCTCATCTTCACACCCCTCCGCCCTGGCACCTGCCTCAACCTGCCCTGGGTGGTGGTGGTGCTTCCTAAGCTGCTCTTGCCCCTTGAGAACCCAGGCAGGCTCCAGCCCCCAGCTATTTCCATGCTCAGCAAAACCTGTGGAGCTGGAGGGGGTTTGGAGGGGCTCCGGGAAGAAGCAGAGGTGCAAGGGAGGCTATTGCACAAGGCTGGGGTAAAAGCTGATAAAAGAGTTTATATGTGAATTACCTAGTGAGGATTTCCTACAGCTACAAATGCGTCAGTACTGTTTTTAGATGAGAGTGAGGGTGGCGTTCAGTGTTCAGGAGGGAGCTTGGGAGAAGCCCCCATTTATCAGTGGAAGCTGTGCCACTGGAGACTTGATGCGGCTTGCTCAAAAACAAGGCAAATTCCCATCACAGGCACAAACAGCAGCACAGACCTGCCACAATTTCTTTGCTTGAAATGTGCCTTTTGGTCATCCTTCTGGCCCCTTGCTCACCTTGCTGGGTCTCCTGCAGACTCTTGCACCATGGGTGGCTCAGCAGCACTTCAAGATATGGGTGATCCACACATTTCTGACTCTGGTGTCATCTTTCTTGTCACTCTTCTGCTACTTCCGCATACTGAAACAGGTTTATTTCCACAGGTGCTAAGCTGATGCTTTCATTGACCTCCATTATATGCTCAAATCCCCGCTCTCAAAGTCAGTTTCCCTTATGCTTTTATATGTGGAGTTAGGACTGTGTTTATCCCATGTGCATCATTTTGTATTGCTCTACAGGCATTTCAACAGCTGCTTCACGAGACCCTCCTGCAGCTTCTCACAACTGATCCCCAAGTGCTGCACCCGGGTACTCCAGTGCAATATCTGCTGCTTGGGCACTGTGTGTGGTGTGATACATTTAACAGCACAGCCCCAGCCTGCATTCCCCTAGGGCCATCCCCATGCAGGAAAACACACCATGTCCCCTGCGTGTTTTGTGCTACTTTTCCCACGCTGTTCCACACGCTGCCATGCGTGAGATGACTTTGTCCCCTGCAGCTGCCTGGGGTCTGGAGAGCCCATCCAGGGTCCCCTGCAGACCCAAGGGGCTGGTACCCCCTGACTCTTCCCAAACCACATGCTTGCTGGCCTCTTCAGAGAGGACCAATAAGTTTGGAGGAATCTCTTCCTACAGCCAGAGCTGCCTTGACTCCGCTCCAATAGACCATATTTGTCCATGTGTCCACCATGGCTCCCTGATATGACTGCTGCTTACGTGCCTGTACAGCATCACACTTGCAACTTTATGGTTCCTTGAATCCCCCTGGCACCCTTTTCCACTCAAAGGGCATTCCCTCTGGCACCTCCCTGCCATAGCAGGAGCTTTAGCTTCCAGCTTTAAGGTCTTTGAGCCTCTTTTTTTCAGTTCTGTTTGTGAAGCTGGAGTCTCTCGTGACCCTCCCCAGAGCCCTTCATTCCCTTGATGTGTTTGACAGAGTTGTTTTTTTTTTAATAAAAAGATATTTTCTTTTAATGTTTCTTGGAAGCTGTTTCTCAGGCTTTTTCTTGGCTTGCTCCCATATGTTCTCACACTTAACCTTCCACAGTTTACGGTTCTCCTGCTTTTTCTCACTTGGACGTAGCTGAGGGGGTTGAAGGATGCCTTTTTGTTTATAACTGCCTTTTTTTACCCTGCTGTTTAGCCTTTGCTGAAGCCTTGCTTGAAAGCTTATGATACATCTGCTGGAGGATGCCAGGATGATGTCTTTAAATAGTCCTTCCCTTCCGCCAGCCTGTAAGCACTCAGCCCCCTGCCTGTTCTTTCTTGCTTCTTTTCAACAGGCTTATTCATCTTTGCCATCTCCCCATATTTCATGAAGGCCCCATAGCCAAGGGCTTGCTTGTGGGCAGCTGCTGTCCCCACACTAGGATCTGTGGGGCTTCAGCAGGGTGGGCAGCCACTGATGGTGCACCAACGGCACCATGGGATGGAGCAGGGATGGAGCCATCAAGGGAGCCCCACTGGGAGCAGCAGGCAGTGGGGCTGCAGTGTAGGTCCAACACCAGCCCAGCAGACCAGGCTGGGGAGAAGCACACCTACATCACAGCCCAAGGGAAGGTGGCCCAGGGCTGAACTGAAATGGAGTCCTCAGCCATGTGAAGGGTGTGTGGCTCAGCTGTCAGAGGGTGAGAACTGGAGAACAAGATTTTGAACCAGGTCTAAGCATTATCCATTGCTCCTGCTTGAAGTCACCATCAGTTACAGCCAAACCTTGCGTGTGCACTGGCTTCGCTGGCACCAGGGTGTGGGGGTTACTGGGTCCTGCTCAGATAGTGGCAGAGTGCTGGTCTTGCCTTGCCACCTCCTTAGGCTGTTGCATGTTAGATTCTGCTCCTAGTGCCCTGCTCCCGCACAGCCCATGTTTCCCCTCTGCCTGTCTGGGTCCCCCTGGCATGCACCATCCTTGCTTTGGAAGTGGGCAAGCCACTTCCCACTAGCTCTTCAGCCCTGCTCCAGCCAGACAAAACCCCTGTGGTCAAGCACATGGTCTTATCACCTGAAGGGGACTGTCCCTGGTGCCCACACCAAGCACCAGTAGTGGGTTGGCCATGGCAGCATTCCCAGCTCTGTCCTCCTGAGCACTTTTGCTCAGCCCCTCTTTGATTGCTGCTCCCTGAGCCCATGTGTCCTCTTCATCAGGGGCCACAGAGCTGCCTGTGAAAGCAAAGCCAAAGGGATGGCCACCCTGCCCCATCAGCTTTCCTGTGGCACCTTCTGCACCAGCCTATTGCTTTGGTGCCAGTGGGGCTGCAGCTCCTGCCCACTTCACCTGCCCCCCTCACTGCTGCTGTGCCATCCATGTGGGTCACAGCCATGACACAGGGGTCCTGGCACAGTGGTGCCAGTGGGGTGCCGAGGGGCACCTGAGGCTCACAGGATAGCCAACCTCAGCTTTTGTGTGTCAGGAGCCAGCTCCATCTTGGAGCATTTATTTGCATGTTATTTATTTATTAGAGGGAGCGGGATGAACAGTGCATAGCAGCATCTCCATCCCAGAGATACCTTGGTGTGGGAACGTGGGGACCTCATCACCCTTCACCCAAGGTCCTGGTCCTTCCAGGCAACATTCAGGTTTTCTCAGAAGCACGAGCAGTGGCAGCTGTCCCTGCAGCTGCTGACATTTTCCATGAACACAGCCGTGCTTCCAGGTCTGTGCTTACACCCACTGCAGGTGGTCCTTGCAGACCCCGCTGAGCTGCTCACCCCACTGCCTGCTCCCACACTAGGGTGGCTGTCAGAGCCAGGATTCTGCAGCAGAAGTTGGGGGGCAGCTGATGGAGAAGCAGAGCCCATGTCAGGCTTCAAAAAGTCACCCGTGGGGCTGAAGGGTGGAAAACCAAAACACAGTGTGGGTTTTAAAGGCGGGATAAAAGCTGAAGGAATGGAAATGAAATAGCAGACATAGCAAGGGAGTGAGCATCCACAGAGGACTTGTGAAAATAAACAGCAGAGAGGAGAAGCACAGTGAGCCCTGGACCCAGGGAGCTGCAGCCCAGCTTCGACAGCTGTGCCATGGAGAAGGCAACAAGCCCAGCTACCCTGCGGGGAAGCAGTGAGTCCCCTTGCTCTCATTCACCTCCTGTGCAGACATAAGGCTTATTTATTACTTATATACACACTAGATGTATATATTAGGGCACCCTGCTCTGAATACTGATGGCAAAGCAGGGCTGGCAGTCACAACATGGACAGGTGTGGGGCAGGCACTGCCGTGCAGCCCAGCATGGCATCCTGCACAGCCTCCTCTCTGAAGGCAGCTCCTGCACCTCCTCACCAGCATTTCCACTGGGCTCGTCACTATAGAAACTAAGTGCTGTGCACATGTCCCCTAATTCATCCTCAGAGCAGCCAGCTCCACTGATGCAATTATCATGGCCACAGATGGGGACAAAGCAAAGCCATCAAGATCAAGATCAAGCACTGCCGCTAATTCAGAGTGCCTGGTTTGAAATGCTTTAGCCAGGCACCTTTACAGCATTAGGGTCTATTTATTCATGTCTAATTAATTACACAGCTTTGTACCTCACCAGTGGCTGTGCTAGGGTCCATGCAGGCACAAGCAGGGACCATCCCCACTGTCCCATCCCTTCCACCTGACCTGTCTTTGCTCATCCCTTCTTGCAGGGCCAAGGAGATCAAGACCAAGCTGGGCACACTGCTCCAGAAACCTGACTCGGCCATTGACTTCATTATCCCCTATCCAGAGAAGCCGGAGAAGCCTCCCAAGGCCCAGAAGTGAGTACTGTGCTGGGGTGGGCTGTGCAGGCACTCATGCCTGGCTGGAGAGGTGGACAAGAAGGAGCTGAAGACCCTGCTGCTAGTGGGCACAGGAGGCTTTACATGGCATGCAGCTTGTGACATGGTCCTCATGACCATGGGTTAGATGTGGGCTCAGACAGTTATGTCAGGGCAACATGAGATGTGTCAGGCAATACAGCTTTATGGAAACCAGATTTCTCATGGAAACTCAATTTACTTCTGATGAGATCTCACATTATTTGATAAGGTTTTGCCAGAGGCATTTGGCAATTGGACTTCTTTGAGTCAGCTGCCTCAGTCCAGGGGTGCCAGCTTTGCACAGTCTGCTGGTTTCAACATGGCAGTGTGTCCCCAAGCTGTGTGCATGGCCCCTCAGTGTGATGCCTGGCTCTGGGCAGCTTTGTGATGATGGCACCTTCTCACCTTATTGCCTTTGCCCCGAGCCTCTGCTCTCTGGCACTGAGCTGAGTTAATGACAAAGCAAAGAGAAGTTGAAGCTAGAGAGGCTGATGAGCTGTGCTGCAGGATTGACAGTTCAAAGGAGGCAAAACAAACCTTGGAAAGAAATGTTAGCTTAAATCTAGAAGCAGGATAGCTTCCTGGCCATATGATGATGGCCTTGCCTGTGGTACCTTCAATACAGCCTCAGGTAGCTGAGCTGCTGCCCTGGCCACTTTTCTGGCACCCCTCAGCTGTGTCACCATCAGATGTGTGTGACTGTCCTGGAGACAATGCCCCTGCCCTGGGGCTGCACAGGCAGTGCTGGAGAACCCAGGTCTGACAGCACCCAGAATGACTTGCTGGAGGTAGGAGGCTGACTGGCCCAGCCAGTCTTGCTCTTGGCACCGGGAGCAAGAGCTCATCTTGAAGGGTTTGAGTGGCCATGTCACAATGAAAACCAGGAGAACCTTGTGCCCACTGTTCATGAGGCCAGGTTTCTATTTCCTCTTGAAAGTCATGACTTTTTGTTTTACACCTGTCCCTTTCAGCCCAGGAAATGTTACTCTAAGCCAGTAACCCTCTGCCGAGGGATTGCTAAAAACTCAAAAAAAAACCAAAAGAAACCCCCAAAACAAGCCAAAGTATGGATGAACATCCTGCTCACCCTGATGAGAGCCCAAAGAGAGCACAGGGACACTTGCCAGTGCTGTGCCTGTCTGCTGCAGCGCTGCTCAATGAGAGCTGCCTGGGCCAGGCAGGTCAGGCAGAACCTCGACAGACAGTGCATTTCACACTCTGTCGCTGGCGTGCCCTGGATGCCTGTGAAGGAGACACATTTGTCCCCATTAGCTGTCTGTGCAGAAAGCTGGAGAACATCTTCACTCCCCGCTGGCTGGAGGAGTTGTTTTCTCCTGCACTGTGGAGCCTCTGTATCACTCATCCGTCAGCATCTTGCTCAGAGTTAATTTCATCCCTGTGACATTCAGCTAATGGAAAAATGAATTTGGTAGTTTCCAGGAAATCTGGATTGTGTTGGGTACCTGCAGTGATGCTCCCTCTCGCCAGGGTGGGGAGACGCCTGCCAGGAACACGGGGGCAGGGAGAGCTTTTCATCCTTGGTGGCAAGTGCAAATGCAATTTGAGGTGCAGAAAGTGAATGACCAGAGCCTCCACCATGGTCCTTACTGTGGTTGCTGGCGGTTTGATGACGAGTGAGGGCTGGACACCCAACCTGAGCAAGCCTTGCATTTCTGCCACACTCCTCTCCCAGCTGAAGCCAGGGCAGGGCGGCTGAATGGGAGCACCTGCACTTACCCCAGACCCACTGCTGAAGCACCAATGTCCCCAGGACCAGCAAGTTGTCCTGCCCACTGCTCCCTCCCCAGCCTCAGGGTTGCTCTGCTCACCCAGAGGGGTTCAGACCCAGTGCGTAGCCAAACAAGCAGCAAAACAAGCCTGAGTGCTGCACTGGCCATGGGGAGTGGTGATGGCCTGCAGCGAATCCAGCACTCAGGAATTGGAGGAGGGTTCCCCTCCAACACTGGGCATCAGTGCACCCCAGGGCAGTGTGGTCAAACTCCTTGGGGCTTAAGAAAACTCAACAAGACCCAGAACCACAAACCTCCCCCCCCCCCAAGCTCTTTAGTCACACTGTCACATTTACACGAATTGCATCAAAAAAGAAGAAACAAAGAGAGGAAAACCCACGCACATGAAAAACACCAAAGGTTTTCACTGGGGAGGAAGGGAGCCAGGGCCGCATCCTGCCCTGCTGCGGGCCGTGGGAATGGGGCAAGAGGGCTGTGGGAATTGAGGGCTGCTGACCCCCACCCGGCAGTGCAGGGCTAGAATGATCCGGCCTTTCCGCCCCTCCAGCAGGAAGCATCCTTCCCCATCCCAGAGGGAAAACATAGCAACGCTTTCCAGCTGCCTGCAGAGCCCCGCTCTGCCCTCCCATCCATGGGTGCTGGGGAAAGGAAGGGAATCATGGCTGCAGAGGGGGCTCGATTCGCAGTTCAACTGTATCTCTGCTCAGACACCAGTAAATTTGCCCATGCAGCCCCATCCTCACCTTCCCTGGCTCTTGGCTTTGCCTGGGAGGAGAGAGAGTACTATACTGCAGCATAGTAGCATCCCCATTTCTCCACCATTGTTCTCACTCTGTAACAGTGTCCACAGCTTGTTCCTCCATTCCTCCTGATTTTTAAAGGAAATGTTTAAAAACCTGGAGCCCAGACCGGTGCTGTGCTGAGCATGGACCACCTGGGCTTTCTTTACTCCCTTCAGGCCATCACTGGAGGAGGCTCTGCAGTGGCGTGATTCCCTGGAGAAGCTCCTGCAAAACCCCTGTAAGTTCACGTTCACCTGTGGTCATGTCCCCCCCGGGTGCTCAGTAAGGGGTCAGCCCCTTGCGACCACCAGTGCTCAGTGAGGGCTTGTCTCCCCCAACAGATGGGCTCGCCAGCTTCCACAGCTTCCTGCGCTCCGAGTTCAGTGAGGAGAACGTTGAGTTCTGGATGGCCTGCGAGGACTACAAGAAAACCAAGTCCCCCGTGAAGATGGCAGAGAAGGCCAGAAAGATCTACGAGGAGTTCATTCAGACTGAGGCACCCAAAGAGGTCAGTGGCCTTGGGGCAGGAGGTGATATCAGGAGGGTTGAGGCTGCTGCCCCAGTGGCCTAATCCCAAGGAAAGCATTGGCTGCAGGGCACCTTGTACCGTGGCTGAGGGGCTTGGAGGGCTGTACCCCCAGCCAAGGGCAGCCCCATCCCAATGTGCTGCCCTCCCACCCTTCACAGCCTTGGTGCCCTTGTTTGCATGCTTAGCCTCTGCTGGGCTGTTTCCTGCCATGGGCACCTCCAGCACATGCCTGTTCCCCTCTCCCCACAGAGGGCTTACATTGATCATAAAGGGTGACAATTTACAGTCATCTCCCTCCCCGAGTTAGCTGTGCTGCAGGATAAACCTCATCCTTACAGATTTGCCACCAATAATCCGCCCAGATAAGTGAACCTAATTCAGTCCCTCCTCATAACCTTTGCATGGTTGTTGGTGGGACAGAGCAGGGGATGGGAGATGCCATCACCCATCCCTTGCAAGGGCAGGGTCCCCACATCTCTTACACTCAATCACAGGTGAACATCGACCACTTCACCAAGGCTGTGACCATGAAGAACCTGGTGGAGCCATCACCAAGCAGCTTTGACATGGCCCAGAAGAGGATTTTTGCCCTGATGGAGAAAGACTCCCTACCCAGATTTGTGCGGTCGGAGTTTTATCAAGAGTTAATCAAGTAGCAATGTGGCAGGGCTGTGTGAGGCGTTCGCTGCGGGCGGCCCCACTGCTTCTATCTAAACACCTGCCCCTTCTCCTCAGCAGCTTTACTTTCTTGATACCACCCTAGAGGAGCACCCAGGAGCATTGCTAAGCATCCCCGCCCTGTGCTTTGGACTGTCAGATGTCCTGATGTTTCCTCTCTTAAAGTCTCTTTCCTCTCCCATGAAAGACCAGTTAGCAGAAACCCCTCTGATCCTCCGTGGGTTTGGGACCCAGAAGGGTGGGAGCAGCCCCAGCCCTGCAGTGACTGTGAACTGGCATGCTCCTGGCGCTGTGGGTCTTGGCTTTAATCGGAGGCTCAGAAGTTCTGGCTCTGCCTTCTCTAGGACATCTTAGGACGTGACAATTTTTCTTCCAGTTTTGCCCAAATTGCTGGTCTAGCCCAGGCTTGCCCCCTTCTCCCAGCTTCCCAGGGTGTTGCTGTGGCTGCACAGGGTACCCTGTGGGTGCTGCCCTCCCTGGCTAAGTCCTGTAGTCCTGGGGTGCAGGCTGGGGCATGTCCACCAATGGACTGGCGTTACCTGGTCTTCAGAAAGCAGATCATCAGCAGGAACAGTGATGGCTGCATGGCAGGCACAGCAGGGTGGCAGGGTTGGTGGAATGGCAGGGACAGCTGAGCCAGGAGCCACGTGGCCATGTGCTGCAGGGTGCACTGGGCTGGCATGAGGGGTGGCAGAGTGAGCCTGCACCACCACTTCCCCTATGACTCCTCTTGGAGTCAGCTGTGAGGCAGCCTGTTTGCTTCACGCTAAAGACAGTAAAGAGGATAAAACGAGATCTGTTTGCTCAAAACACTGGGACTGTTTAGCAACCCAGACCTCCTGGTCGCTCCAGCCACTTGCACAATGTACTGAGCTCATAGCCTGCAGCCTGTGGCCTTGTCCCCAGTGCCTGCGCAGCCTTCCACAGGACTGCAGCTTCAGGTGTTGCTGCAGTGATTTCTTGCTCCTGTTGCTTCTCTCTGCAGTAGGCATGCCAAAGCAATACTTCTGCACAAACCCAACTGAGGGGCATTGATTAGAGGAGGAAGGAAAATCACGTTGGGGCTGAAAAAACTGCAATTGCAACTGTTTACAGCTGATTAAAAAAACAACCCACCCCCCATATCCCCCCAACAAACGCAAACACAAAACCATCACTGGAGACATGAAAAATAAACCCCTGGCTTCTTTAACAGATGGCAAAATCTGCTGAGTTTGTGTAGCCTGCATCTCTCTCTCCTGTCTCCTCCAATCTGCCCAGGACATGTGTTTCTATAAGGCTGTCTCTTAAAAAGACCAGCTCTTTTCAAATGATTTAAAGCCAGCCCACTATTCACCACCACAAGAAATTACGAATGAGAATAGGGCAAGGGCATATATGAAAGGCAACTGGGGTCTCATTTCAGCCTCAAGGCAAATGTGATGAACCCCTGGGCTCCAGGACATTTCATCCCCACAATGGTTTCCTGGTGCAGCATCCTCAAGGACATGTCTTGAAATGAGCTGCTTCAGCTGGCAACCTGACACACGCCAGCAAAATAACAAGCCCCCATGCTCCCAGCAGGCATCCTGGACCAGCCACCCCTTCAGGCTGCTCAACCTCAACTGCAGGTCATGAGACTGTGCGAAATGCAGTAACATAAACAAGGGGTTTGCCAGCCTCTTCAAAATCTGATCAAAACCCCACCAGCCCCAAATATTTACATGGTGTCACTATGGTGATGAAGAAAAATACATCCTGAGCTGCAGGAAGAGGGCTGTGTTTTCCAGGCAGGGATGGGGAGGCAGGAGAAAGATGGAGGCCATCACAAACGTGACATTTTCTAACTCTGGAGCAAATGGCCTGGGAAAGTCGGTGCTAGAACTGCAGAGGGTGATGCTCGCAGGACATTCCCCTGGGGTGAGTGTGGGGAGCAGTTTGGGTGGCCCAAGGAGCCCAAGGGAACCCTGGGCAGCAGGAGGGATCTGTCAAGAGAGTGCAGGTTCCCCCAGCAGTGCCCACTGCCCAAAGCTGGTGGGCAGCAATGGGGAGGCAGGAGCAGGGCTGGGCACGGGCTGGGGACTTGGCCAACCCTTCTGCTGCAGGATGCTCCCACGACCTCCGCCCATGTGTGCTCCATGTACTCTCCTAATGTCTCCACAGACTGGTGTCAGTACAAGCAGGTTCAGCATGTTCAAGCTCCCTATTTACAGCATGACTCAGAAATGCAAATCCAGACAGGCTTCCCTGCATAAAGACCTAGAGCATTAATTTTCACTTAAGCCTTTGGCTGCTATTTCCAGACACCGTCACACATTTCGCAGTTTAAATGCCAACACCAATGCCATATCGGGTGGGATGCTGCTGGAGGCTGGCTTGCTGTATGCCACCAAAACCTGAGATGTGACTAGCTGCAACAGCGATGTGTGGGGCATGGAGAAGGTGTCTAGGTATGTTTTGCTGAAAAGAAAGGTGGAGGCTGGATTCAGGAGAGATGAAACAGCTCTACTGGAAATCCCTCCCCAGCTCGATTTCTGCTACAATGCTGGAAGCCTTCTTTAGGGGGCGATTGAACAAGTGCCAGTGATCTGCTACATGGCCATAAAATGTGGCCCCTGAAGCATTTTGGAGCTCTTGGGAAGTTGTGTTTGTGTAGAAGGGTCATATGGCTAATTACTCAAGCAGGCTCATCCCAGAAAGGCAGCAATACCTGTACCTTTGCCATAGCAGAGCATTCCACAGGCCCAGAGGTATTTACTGTTGGGCTAATCCCAACTGTCATATATCTTCATATATTTTATCACACTGGTTTTGTGATACTTGGCATATGTATGAGCACTATACACACAACATTGTGCATCTGTATCCATATACTCATATATAAGTATACACACATACATATATGCAATACTCCTAACATGGGCATCTGGATCCCTAGCGAGTCAGAGAGCCAAAAAGCAGTTTCTGGTTATTATGCTTGTGGTCTGTCAGAGAGATGAGCATGTGTGGGTCGAGCGCAGCCTCAGACCTTGTGCAGGGAAACCTTGGCCATTCCCCTAAGTGAACGCAAAGGTGCATCTTCCAAAACATCCTCCAGAATCACCCTGTGCTGTGGCTGCTGGGTGCACCCTGGCACCGGAGCTGACACAGGAGGCCATTCTTGTGCTCTCTGAAGGACCCCAACCCGGCTGTGGGGCAAGGTAACCCCACGTTGCAGCAGGGTCCCCAGGCACCAGGCACTGCCTCAGTGCCTCCCTGGATCCCACTTCCCACCATAGAGACATGTGGAGGACTGCTCCCTGCAGCCGCATCCCTTGGAATAACACCAGCGGATCATTTGCTGTGTGTTTTCTGGTTGTTCCAGTGACCCAGACCCTCACACCCCCCCAGCCATGGTGTGATGCATCCAGCTCTCCCCCAACACAGTGATTGAGGGCTCTGCTGGTGTTGCCTGGTCCCAGCCTTGGGGACTGCCCAGGGATGGCTGAGGGTGTCCCAGGGCTCACCCAGGCTCCCCCTGTTCCTTGGTCACTTCTTGGAGGGTGCTGAGTGCTGTGGACAAGGGCTGAAATGAGATCAGGAGGGGCAAGTGGCTCCTGACACAAGCAGCAGATTTTCAGGCTGACGTTCTCCATGTGCTTTCCACTACAGATCTTCATATGGGGAAGACATGAGCACAGGTGTGCACTGAGGGACTTGTTGTGTTAACACATGTTCTTGTACTACTCAGTAATCCACACATAAACATGTTATTTCTGCTACTATCTTGATTGATGATTTATTTTATCTCTTTGCACTGGAAGTTTCCTTACCCAATACAGTGCTCTCCCAAAACTTGTACCCAAAAGGCCTGGCAAGACCAAGGGCTCCTGAGAGCTACTGCTGCAACAGATGTGTTGGTTTCTCAGGAAACTGAAAAAGCAAATAAAAACATCATCCCAGGAGGCTGGTCCAAAGGAAACTCATCAGCGTGGCACAGGCACCCTCAGCCCCATGGCCCAGGTGACTCCTCAGGCTTCAGCTCACATGCTTGGCTCACAGCCTGGTAGCTGCTGTGGTGCCTGTAGGGGTACAAGAGCCAGCCCTGATCACTGCCAGCTGCACAGTCTTTGGGCATCTCTGTGTCCACAGGGAACAGGGACAGGCTGAGCTGTGGTTGGGAAGACATCTGCAGTGAGGAGGTGTTCCTTTATGTTGCCCCCTCCAACGCTGACACAGGGGCCTCAACACTCAGACCAGCCTCTCGGAAGACTGGGTGGTCCCTGTGCTGTGCTCACTCTCAGGCATCGCATTGACCCCAAAAGCCCAGTACCCCCCCCACTCATGATGCCAAAGGCATCTGAAGGAAAAAATGGCTGTTCCATCTTTCCGTAATTAAAACGTGTGTGAAGCCATTTGTAAAATGACTTCTTAGAGTAACCTTGCCCAGTGAATTGGGACTCTGTGCATTTTCTTTGGTTCACACAATGGTGTTTTAGAAAGGACTACCACAATTTTTTTTTTTTTTTATTCAGAATGAATTCATTATTATTTAAATATCAATGCAGTTTTTATAATAGTTATCAAGAATTCCCAGTACCAGGGGAAATAAAACATAACCACATGCTTGGCTATGTTCAGAGCTTTAGCAAGCCTCTCCATCTTTTAGCTGAACATGCTATGGTGGTATGTGTCAGTACAGGTGAATAAATACGAAATAAAGCAAATGCTAAAAGAGACGTTTCTCTGTGGGCCTGGAAGTGTCTACTGGAGAACCACAGCCTCCTCCTGCCGTGTCAAAACCCCCGTGTGAGAACTGTTATCTGGGCTGGGATGCAGAGCAAGCAATACACGGTTGTCAGAGCAGTGATATCCAACTAAGGAGAGACCAAGCGGCTGGGGGACAGTGCGGTACCTGGTACGGCAGCCCAAGACAGCAAGCCCTGCACTTATTTCTTGCCTCCAACTGCAGGTCAGTGTCAGTCCCAAAGCCCCCCATGAAGGCCATGTCTAACCACAGTGACTAAAAATGAAGCTGCCTTCTTGCAAAGCCCAGGAGCAGTAATGAGCCTGACACATTCCTCCTACCATCTTCAGGAAAAAAAAGTGAGTCATGCTACTACTGAAATATAAACTCCCATAAATAACATTAAAAAAAGAAAAAAAAAGACATTTTCAAGTACTCCCAAGCAGGGTCTTTCCTCCCCCAGCTGTTGTGGTTGTGGTCCTGCTCCCTCACAAACTGCTCCGTACAAGCCAGGGCACATAAACCTAAATTCAAATGGCGCTCCCAGAGTCAGAAATACACACCTGTCCATCCGGGAGAGAAGAAACATGTTTCTGTTCTGCTCTGCTACAGTGTTTAACATGGGAGCATGAGGGACACAATAATATACAAAATAATGAACCTCTCCCAAAACAATAGCTTTGTACACTCCTTGGAAAGATCCTTGGCCAGCATTAGCTAGATGTTACAGAGGGAGAAGTGGACAGAGGGGAGAGCTTCACATTGCTAAGGACCAGAGCAAGTCCTTTTCATCTAAGCTTTTGCCAATTAGAAAGGGGAGATCACAGTCCCCAACACTTCCCTTGGCTTCCTCATTCCCCTGCTCTTTGCTAAGTGTCACACTGCAACACTGCAAGTCTGGTCCCCTGTGGGTAGTGCTGGGTCTGAATGAGTGCTCCCCACCACCCTCCTGGGCTTGCAGGGCTCACCAGAAACACAGTGGACACACAAGGACTGCACCCAGCTTTCCTGTCAGACACAGACTCCAGGGCTCCTATACCGATGGAGTCAGAGGAGGGTTTGCTACACAGACTGAGCCTGGCTTGGGTTACAATGCTGGCTGTTGCATGACATGGGATGCACCTGGGACATTAGACAGCTATTGGAGACAGCTCTGCTGCTTCATGCCAATGAATGCTTTTGCTGCCGTATATTCCTGCAAGAGCCCTGCCTGCTCCTGCCTTGCTGCAGGTTCAGGCGCACTGGGAGATGATGTTAGAGTTGCAGTCTAAGGTGTGAGTGTGGCTTCTTCTGCAGTTTTCGGGCTCACAGCCAGCAGCAGGTGGGCTGACCAAGTCCAGGTAGTAGGGGGACTTGAGGAAACGGCGGTACGAATCCTTTTCCATGAGGGTGAATATTTTTCTCTGAGCT